TCACTTCTTGGTGTTTTTCTCTTTTCTGTGGTATTTCTGATATTTTTTTTTACATAATTGTAGCTTGTAGTGATCATCTTGTCAACTCTTTCCGCCATAACATTCAAACTGCAGCTATTTATAATGCTTCCCCAATTCTTCAGTATGCACAGCGAGGATAGCAAATCACATTGCCCATCCTCATTAGCCGTGAATGCCGCTAGTTACGATTTTTTTCCTGCTGGCGATATAAATCCATCATTGCTCAAGTGGCCGTTAGTGCAATGCGCGCTGCGCAGCAGTCAAAGCTCCGTGGATGCGTATTGGTTATAGTTCAGTAGTGACGGCAATATATGCTTTTAAGGTGTCAACAATATTTGCGCGTAAACAATGGCCACAGTGCATTCTTAAATTTTGCGCCCATGTTCGCTTTTTACGCGCAAGCGTTGTTGACACCGCAACGGCACCACGTTAGTCTTCAAGCCTAGACTGCATTCGTTGTTGTTAGCTTTTGACCTGAGCTGTTATGCACTTGGCATCTTATTGTTGCTTTTGGATTGTTTGTTTTCGCTTTTTGTTTACACTTCTCAGTTGGCAAAATAGGCACACATGTTTTCAGTTATTCGTTCCGTTACGCTATTCCTCCGTGCAAGTTAGCATCGGCGAAACTAGCAATTATTATGGACAACCGCTTGATATACAAACACGCAACAAAGATTTATACTTGGATGCTGAAATACATGGCTCCCTGTCATCTCGACGAGAGTGTGCATTTGCGGATGTAGTCATGGAAGGTGGAAAACCTTTCATAAAATGCATCTGCCGATTATAGACTCAAATCTACATTTCCTTCAATTAGTTACTCCAGCTGAAAGTCCTGCAGGGGGGGGGTGGGGAGAAATTGGGCTAATTCTGCATAATCACCTTATTAATTATCTTTATTTTTAATGCAGAATTAGGGCGATGTGCGGAGGGAGGGGGGAATTAACTTTTCCTATCGCCTTATACCGACGATTTTCTGTATCTCTTGTCCATCTAATGATGCAAGCGGATACTAATTGTTGGGGTCGATTTTAATGTAATTATGATTTTCCACATTTGTAGCGGTATGCTTTCATTGTTCACAGCGTAACAATCCTGTATTGCACTATCAAATAGCGATATCCATAATATGCAAAAAAAACCCCGTAGCTATAGCCATTTATGTAAAGATCGTAGCTATAGCCATATATGTGAAGCTTTAAATCTACATTACACTGCCTTCCAACGTATATTTGATAGATTTGATGTTTATTATACCTCATACCTTGCTGCGCGACAACTTTGCCAAAACCAATGGCCCCGGGGCACTTATTCTCAAGTTTTGCGCTCCATGACCATTTCTACGCACAAGTGTTGTCCTTAGTGTAAGCGCACAATTGTGACCGTCAAATTACTGGACTATGTTTACGGCTATACCATGAGGAAAGGCGACATTCAGCGTGCCCTCCAAATCCCAATGCATCAAATTATGCGTCGACACCAGTTTCTCGCTTACACTTTGCGCGTAACATGATATGAGCAGGCGTGAATGATGCATTAGTGATCGTTGAGGCGATATTTTGCAGCAGCGAACATTAATGCATGCTTATGAAGGTTGCAAATTCTGCTGTTTTGTTTACTTCCATGACTTTTGAAAAAGTGCTCATGACGATCCTCCTTTCGGCATGGGAGTAAACATATAGCCAAAATAAAGCGGTATGCTGATCAAGTAAACAAGCCATTGAATCCCAGCTATTGATGGGATTATGTTTTGGGGCTTATAGCTCTCGTATTTGAACGTAGTTATTAGCGTTCAGGCGATATGGCGACAGATGGTCGGCAAACGTAAAAGGCTCTCGCTGTAAATCACGGCTCGGGCTCTTTTACGGTCATTTACGAGGTCAGAACAGCGTGAACAATGTGAAAGGGTCACAAGGTCAGTTCTAGAGTTGTTATGAATATGACGTGCTTCCTCTCTCTATGAAATTTTTTCTTGGCGAAGTCCCAAGTATTGTTTTTCATGTTCCTTCATTTTCTGTTTATTTATGGTTCCTTTCCAACTCATCAACATCGCATAAACTAAATCAATATGCTTTTTTGTTCTTCTGCGTAAACATAGGGCGTTCCCACCACGACAACGAACGTCGTGACAGAACCAGTCACACTTCGCCTCTTGTTGTCTGTGAGTCATTTTTTATTCGGAATCTTCAGGCATGTAGAAGGTGCTTGTGCTTGTTTACGCGGTGGGCCGTAACATTTTGGGGCTAATTTTTGGTTGTGGTCTTCTCTTGCGGTTTGAAAAATTTGATTGTGTCAGAGTGAGTCTAATTGCAATTGTGCCAGTTCTAGACTACGTACGTTATTTCTAAGCTGTGCAAGTCTTTGATGTTTATACCTCATTAGAAGGGATGGCTTCCTTTTAACATAAACATTTGTTTCCAATATTTATTGTTATTGCATTTTGCATCATTAACATGCAAAGAAGATTTCTTCATGTTTATAGCTCAATTCACTAGGCTATAATTTCCGCTTGGCATTGCTTACAGAATCGATTTTCCGCACGTTTTACTTTTTCGGCCAATTTTTCACCAATAAAACTCCCAATTTAACTCTTCCTCGTTATCTATGAACTTTCTAGATATTAGCACTTTTTCGCATTGACTGCGTAGGAGCGTATCTACGTCAGAGATAGTCTTGTGTGCTGCTTCGAGCAAATGCCGCATCCACGTAGCATGAATTCGCTTTCTTCTGGTGTTGTCTATGTTTGAATTTTTTTTTTGCGAAGATCGATATCATCTGCATTACAGCGACTTTCAAATCGTTGTTTGAACAGAGGATGGAAACGATGATGAGGGATTCGCGGCCAGGGTACACGCAGAGGCTGGTGGCTGTTAATTTTCTCAGCATCTTTAACTCTTTTCTTCTGCCTATTTTCCCTTTTTTCATAGGCATGACGCACAACCGCTTTTTTGAAATTTTGCAGATGTATGACATTAGCTTGTAATGCTCATTCAGAGTAATTTCTCCCTCAACCAATATCTTTCTTTTTAACTGACCTGTTCCAAATGATCACACTAATTTTCTCATGCATGCTCAAGAGTACTTGATGTCTAGACACTCCCACATCACTCTCATTATGTTCAAGGCAAAAATCGCTTGCGTGGGAGAGAAGAAATGACAAAAACAGTATTGATCTTGAGAGCAGAGGGATTGTACTGTGTTCTTCCCTGTTTCTTCTGTTGCTACTTTATTATGTTATTAGATCTTTAATTCAAACTGCTTATTTCCTTTTGATATACAACCAAGACGAATTCGTTCGTCACTTTGCATGATTACACTCTTTAAAATCTATGAAGACAGTTTCATGCTCTATTATATTGCGCGGGATGACACGTGGGCTAGGAAACATATGGCATTAGGATCTGCGCTAACCATGTACGATCTAAACCAATTATATGAACCAAAGTTCTTTCACAACAATGTTGCTCCGTTGTCGCCCTAGATTGAAAATGACAGCCCTGCGAAATCGATCCATTTTATCATCGATGGTGGCAGATTCACATTGTCATTGGTAGCGATGAAAACACTGCCAGGTGGGTTGTTTTTGAAATTGCGTCTGGTGTTTTGGTACTATTTTCTATAATATTTGACTCGATTCGAATGAACTGTTGTTTTGCTTTCCGATCATTTGAAAAAGTTCCATAGTTTTCAATGGTATATGTCATTTTATGGTCTCATCAATTTTTTCCTAGAGTCTCATGAGCAACAAAAATATTAAAGTCTTTCTAGCCATTATTATGGCAGTGTTAATATAATGAGTTAATTCTTTCTAATTTTTCTGTTTTTTTTTGCTTATAATATTCAGCGTCGACCATTGCATTCTCTCTTATCGGACTTCTCAGTATCATTTTCCTGGCCACCCGCACTTCCCACGAGCGCATTATAATGCGATGCACCAAACAACAGCGTAAACTGCCTCGAGCTCGCTAACTACGTCATCATCGCGCTGCCAATTCCTGCCTCGACACTATTTTTTCTCTTCATCGATCGTGCTATCTTCGTAATTTGCGAAAATATTTGTGCGCGAAGAGAAGAGTAACTCCATATGTTCGAGCGCCAATCGATATAGTCGTGCTGTAGCTATACGTCTTCCTATGTTGTCCTATCAGATCGTTTTTGTCATTGTTACGATGCCTGTGATTCATTATTACACAGTGTCGGAGGTACTTGACAATTTCGATGCGGAAATAGATCCTTTTATTTCAAAGAAAAAAATTATTTGCAGAAATTTTGGATCAGTTATTGTTGTCCCAGTTGGGAAATAATGTTTCTTGTTAGTCCTTATGTCGTTTTACTTGATTTTGAGTCTTCATTTTTTTCTGAGGATTTTCGAAGAAGATTTAGAAATCGATTTATATTTCTTCTAAGGAGAGGAACGAATCCATTTCATTCCCTGTAGCTCCTTTTTGTGCTATCACTGCGAATTTGAGCGGAATATAAAATATGACATTTTCATGTAAGTTTCTAGCTTCGAATTCCCCTGTGCACTATGATACCATCCTCTTGTAAAATGTTCATCCCATTATCGCAAAATGGAGGCTAAAAATTACAAGCTATGAAAAATTAATGATTATGTTCAATGTCTAGGAAGCTGCGTCAATTTTTTCTAGTATTTCCGTGTTGTTTTTTCCTCACAAAGCTGCTAGATGCGAACTACCCGCCTTTGTTTGTCCATAGGTTTTTGTTTGTCATCCATCATTTTTTCACTGTCATTCTTTCGTTTGAGTAGGGGGAGACGTACTTTTCCCAAGACTTTTTCTCCCGGTAATCTTCATTGCGATTCTGCCAGCTATCAATCTCCATCGCCCTTTCACAATCTTTGCGTCAATCTTGCGTCTTTGACGGCTTCTCTTATCAATATGTCAAGCTTTTCACCGTGTCATGGCAGTTATGAGAACCGTCATGCTCTCATCGTCGTCTTTTTATTGCTATAACCAGCAATCAATAACGTAAATTTTGTAGAGAAAGCGTTCATACATGGCTCGTCGCCCGTATGATTTGCTATTCAAGCTTTTGCTCATCGGTGATTCGGGTGTCGGAAAGACGTGTATACTCTATCGATTCAGCGATGATGCATTCAATACGACATTCATCTCAACGATCGGTTAGTTGGTATTTATTTTTGTTTTTTAAGAATATTTTTGGTGGAATTTGGCAATTATTTTGTTTGGATGCAGTCTCACCGCGAAGTTTCTCCGGTGCTTTCTGCTAGAATTTTCCAAAATAGCATTTCTTTCTTTTCTGCAGACGATTTATCATAGCTCCTATGGCAGGCGCGAACTTATCCGGTAAGCCGCTCAAACGCTTCATGATTGGTTGAATCTGACCAATTGTGAAGCATGAAAGCGGGTAAACGGATAAGTCTGGAGTCAGAGTTTGACCCTAGATTAGAAACCATTACAGTTGTGCAGAATTTGGACGGGAAATGCGTAAAGACATTTTGGCTTGCACATTAATCAACCATAGCAAGTGCAAGCGCGTATCAGATATTTTGTGCACTTTTGCTGCTAAATCTGAGATACGCAACGAGAAGGAAAAAAAAACGGACTTTGAAACATTTGGATGGCGGGGCATTGGGGTTGGGAGGCCATTCTAGAGAGTTACAGGTCTTTTGGAAAGTTCTGGTTAGAATTTTAAGCATAAGACCACTGTTTTTGAATTAATTTGCGAAGGAATTCTGCTATTGATTTCCTTTCTAAATAATGTTTTCTCAGTTGGTTCATGAAACTTTCCCACGAAGTTCAGCATTTTTGCTACTTCTGACTTTCTTTCGTGTACCTGTACCGAAATAGGTTTTCTTGAACTTTACATGCCTGTCACTTGCAAACTCAAATACTCGTAAAACTTCTTCTGCAGTGACGTTAATGGATTTGCACTTTTGGCTTCGTCTCGTTGAGTATTCATAATCGCTGTACCGTAAATCTCATGAGAGCTATTAACGTCGAAGGGAACTCATATCTGTACCGTTGCGCTCTCTTTAAAGGCAGCGTCCAGGCAGATCTGGACCTATGGGGATTTTACGTGGAAAGTACTTTTGGGGCTTTAACTAAGGCACTGCTCAAGCGGCAGCGCAGGTAGTGCTCCAACGGCTGAGATATTCCCCTCGAAACTGGACCCTGCGATCGTATTAGCATGGATCCATGGCAGTTTCGCGCCAGGACACACGGTTTGCGCCAAGAATCCATGCGAAATACGATCGCGGGGTCCAGTTTCAGGGGGAATATCTCAGTCGTTAGAGCACTACCTGAGCTGCCATTTGGGCAGTGGCTTAGTTAGGGCCCCAAAAGTACTTTCCACGTGAGATCTCCATGTGTCCAGACTTGCCTGGACGCTGCTTAACTACTCGAACAACAGTTTTGCAAATGGGGATATTCAGTGGTGGCGTTGAAAGTCGAAAGTAAGTCAAGTGTACGGCCATGACTTTTTTTCGGTGTCTTCGCGAGCGCCTTTTTTCCCCGTTTTTCTCGTCATCCCATTTCCATCATCGTGATGGAAATTAGCCTCAATAGCTGGGAGTTCTGCGGAGTGCTCGAGTGTTTGTGTGTGTGGCCATTATGGGGCGCAGCGTTTATCCTGAATGGTAGATGGAGAGTGCCTGGCCTTGACGCAGTATGTTATGCCGGTTGGGTGAAGAAAGGGGCCGCAAGGAAGTTTTCGAGGGCCTTGGTAGTCTTGTGTGTTGGTCAACTTATGGTCAAGATACCTTCACCATTAATTTGTATTTGCATACATAGATACATCTTGTTCAGTTCTAAAGCCCCTCTTAACAAAAAAGAAGTTAGTTATGCGAACGGTGCTCGTTTTGCACGGTAGGGCTTTCTCTAAGGGTAGGGGGCTATACGTCGCCGATAGGCTCCACCCCACGCGGGCATCTGGTACACATCTGCACGCCTGCGATGTGTGGAGCTGCGCGGTTTGTCGCAGATGTTCGCTTGGGACCACCCCTTTCGGGCGACGTAAGTCACCCACCCCTTATCTGACGGTAGGCATAGTGGCGTAGGGTGCCTGGAACGCTGTTTGAAAGAAGCGGAGGAGGGAAGGAGGTTGGGGGAGGTGTGGGGGGGGGGGGAAGGGGGAACGGGGAGAGAAAGAGTGCATCATGTGATTACCTTGGAAGAGAGAATTTAGCAATAAGCTTTATATGGCTCAGGGGTCTTGCCCTTCCCTGTATATCCTCTAAGGGCCGCATGCACTAACATCCCCGCGGGGAGGGGATCGCAGCTTAAAAGAAAGCTTTATATTTCGGAACTCCAGATACCTGGATTTCACGTTGTGTGCCTATCCGTAAGTATTCCTACTACCCTTCACTATGAACATGTTGAACAGGAGCGAGAAGCTGTACAAACCGCATTCTCCAGCTTTTGTATGATCCCTGATGATCCCCGGCGCTTTTCTTTAAAGTCATTTTTCTTTCTCCGAAGTTAACGAAAAACCTCCAAAATTGTGCAGATTGTCTAACCCGACAGTGCTAAGCATGTTGCTGATAAGAACAAATGATGTTTTGAAGTCATGAAATTTTCGATGATCCGCAGGTCGAAATTTGAGGTTTACCGAAAAATTCGACTTTTCAAAAACTCATTTGTTCTCATCAGCAACATGCTTAGCACTATTGTGTTAGATGAACAGTACAACTTTGGAAGTTTTTCGTTAACTCCGGAGAAAGAAAAACCCAGCGGGGAGGTTAGTGCATGCGGCCCTAAAATTCATTTCATGCAAAAAATTTCCAAAATCTTTTTCATGAAATTACGTGCGTTGTCATCAGCATTTCAGTCAGTCTCCTTTCTATCTCAAAATGGAAGTTAGTAGGTTTGAGAATTCAAAAATTTCTAACTTTGTTGAGATAAAATCGTTGTCTTTGCTATCCTTTACTTGCGTTTAAACCGCGACTCAACAGATTCCAGATTCAATGGACACTTCAAAACCAGGGGTTTCAGTTTGGCAACTAATCAAATATATTTTTTATCTTCACTCCATGACTTTTGTCTTGAAGGAATTCTTCCGAAATTCGCAGTGACAAGAGTGAAAGTCATTTTCGAATCAGTGATGGAAAAATTGCCGCATAAAGAGCGCTACCTCAGTATATATTGACTTTCGTTTTTAAACCTCTCCACTGCATCACCCTTGACTGCTGGGTAAATTTACGACCTTTTGTTACGCTAATGGGTTCTGCAGCAAAAACACTCGTCGTTCAAATCTACTGCCTGAAACTGGTTAGTAGGAATTTTATTGCAGCATAGCCAAATGCAGTGAAGAAAAAGCTTGAGATGTGATAACTCAACTTGGAATCTATGCTGTTCAATTGCAGGAATTGATTTCAAAATCAAAACGATCGAGCTGAGAGGGAAAAAGATCAAATTACAGATATGGTAGGTTGCAAAATTAGATTTTTCTTTCTTTGCAAACTCACTATCAGACTTTTCTTACATCTTCTCTTGTTCGCCCTTTGATTTTCTGATCTTCAGAGAAAACATCGGCTATTTTTTTCTTCATATCTGATCGTGAGTCTGAAATTGCTGTAATTGTAGGGATACTGCGGGGCAAGAACGCTTCCATACGATCACCACGTCATACTACAGAGGCGCGATGGGCATAATGCTCGTGTATGATATTACAAATGCAAAAAGTTTTGATAACATAGCCAAATGGTTGCGAAATATCGATGAGGTACGTAATGTGTTTTTATACGTATTTTGGGACATTTCGAAAGAATGTTTTTCTTCCCAAGTCTTTATCGCTCTTGATAATTTGCTAGCAAAAATTGTTGATCATACTTTGTGAAGAACTAAGTGAATGTTGTAGCACGCATCAGAGGATGTGGTGAAGATGTTGTTGGGAAACAAATGTGATATGACCGAGCGACGAGTGGTCAGTAGAGAACGAGGAGAAAAGATAGCTAAGGATCATGATATCAGGTCCGTTCTCAGGGATTTCTGGCTTTGTAGTAGTTCACTGATTTGCATTTGAATTTACAACGATTCAAAGTGGGAAAGCTAATTTATTTCTGTTGTTATCGTGTTTGTAGCTGGTAACCAGTTGCTTTGTGTGGAATATGAGACGGCTTCTTGCTCATTTCTGCGCCTATATCTTCATTTTGAAAAAGACTGAATAGGCTAATTTACGAGCACTCATTTGATCTTTTGGTATTACTTTCTTTTGCAGATTCCTTGAGACGTCAGCAAAAGCAAATATTCACATCGATACAGCGTTCTATGAACTTGCTGAGGCTATTTTGGACAAGGTAAGCTCGATTTGTGTCTCATTTCTTTTTTTTTGTCCTTACTCGCAATGGTATTTGTCTAATGTTTGGTCTCAAAGGCACCCTCCCCAAACCGAGTTCAATGAGATCTTGATACAGTACGCTAGCGAGACACCTACAATCGGTGTCAACCATGTGCTCCCTCTTCCATGACAACTACGCATCCGCAGCGCGTAGGCATTGCGCAGCGATGTCCGATCGATGCGGCAAATTTGAACGCTCAAGCGGTACGCCCCGCAAAGGCGGCAGGGGCTCTAGCGTTGCGCTTGAGCTGATAGGAAAGAGAGCACATCGTTGACACAGATTGTAACGAAGTAAGTCGAGATCTCGCTGCAAAGGGTCTACCTCGAAGCGAGAAAATATTTCCGGAAGTGGATGTTCCGAGGTTACCACTCCCATCATGGGTGGCCCAAAGGTATTGAGCCCGAAACTAGGATCAGTAGAATTTAGTAGTGTCGAAAGCACCCTTTCTTTATTCACATTTTCGATATCTCTGTGTGGTTTGGGTTATCATGACCACTTACGCTGATGGGCGTGGCGTCCCGGCAGAATCAGTTTTCTGGGCCTTTTTTCTCGGTCCAGAATGTACCTTTTACAGCGAGGCTTGGGCAGTTACTCATATACATCGTTGCATTAGGATTTCATCAGTCTCGTATTTGGGTGGACAGTGCCTCTGAGCAGCCTTTTTCGCGTTTGTAGGGATTATTTTCGACATGAGCGATCCTTTATCTTTCACACCACACAGAACCCACTCTATTCCAGATGCCAGCACAGACAGAAGAGCCGAGAGTAACGATAAATCCATTGGATAGCAATAAATCGGGCAGTGGCGGATGCTGTTAGGAGCCAGATTTTTCTATGCGTATCGATTAGCGTCGATCTGTTCATCCAGAATTCTCTTCCTTCTATGTTTTACGCCTATGTGTGGTGAGTAAGTGCGCGTGTGTGTTTTATATCACATCGTCATTTCGTCTAATCCGGCTTATTGATTCTCGGGTACCGGTGAGTCGGTGCGCTGCTTCACCGTAGCGACGTTACATCCTTTTTCTCTCTGTAATGTCTGTATCGTTTTGCGCTTTTTATTTTTCAATATCGAATTTGTCGCTGCTATCTCTCTGCACTTCTCTTTTTTGACTCTTTTCTTTGTTTTAGCTTCGATATTTGATTGCATCCCCTTGTTCTGAAGAACCATGATTTGCTATCATGCGAATATCATGGAGACGAAGCTCGTTATTGCACCGAGCTCTTATCTACGGGTTATCGTGAGAAAAAAATTTGTGTAAATGTGACTGATTGAGAAGATTTGAAGGTGCAGTAGCGATTGCGTACAAATTTTGTAGCATTGTTTTTTTTACAAAGTCAAGTGTTTGTTTTCAAACCTTCAATAGGCTATGTTTTTACCTTCTTCTCTGGGAGTACTGAACAATAATGAATCGATTGTAAGATACTATCTTCTGCAACTGTACTCCTAGAATCCTTGCCAATAATTCACATGTTTGTCAAGGCCATCGCTAGACTTTTACATTTCTCTTTAATCCTCGATTGATGTGTGCTTTGTATGCTCTATGTATGTTTTCTAATTCTTCCTTTTTGTTACAATCCTTGCTCTGTTTTTTTTTCAAAGGAATGATTTCCACTAATCGTTCCATTTATGGTTGAAGCGTATCGCTGTGATCATTGTAATGAAGTTTATTAGAAAATTAGCAATATATGTCTTGTGGAGGATCTGAATGCTAAAATATGGACATACATGATCGGTAACAGGTGGTTACTGATTTGCTTTCATCTACATCGTGATCGGTGCACCGCGCTGGTAGGAGGTTGAACCCGTTCATCCGTTCTAGCTCATTCGCTATTGGTCAAACCACTCAATTGACCAATAGCGAATGGTTAAAGTAGATGAACCTTTTGACTCGAATCAGTATGGCTACTGCCATTCGCGAGCTTCGCGCGCAAATTTACAAATCATGTCGATCGTTTACACTTTCCATCGATTTCACCGCGCCAGTGCTTCGCGCCACGCTCGATTGGAGGCCCGCATGCAGGACCCGTGCGTTGCGGCTGCGTAACGGGAGCAAAAATGAATTCGCAATTGACACAGACTGTACCCATCTTGCCCTCATGCCTTTTGCTTATCCTGGGAAGGGCTCGGCACAGCTGACCCGGGTCAAGCTGGTTATCGTTTTCCGGACAAAAAGCAAAGGGTATATTATTGTGGCCGATAAACAAATACACAAATATTGCAATATTTTCTCTAGTCGTTTCGTTTTTTAGGGTTTCTTACGGTTAGAGCTTGGGGTCAAAAGGGATTTCGTACCAAATTTCAAGAACAAAGGCGACTTCGTTAAAAAATTTCTCTGAGCCCTGATCCTGAGGTATCTATCATAGCGGGCTTCGACATGCATGACATGTATCAGGCATATAGCGAAACTTTTGTCACTGTAGGTTACGGTAGGAATTTTGAAAGGGGTTCGCACTATTAGCAATAGCAGAAGTTTTTGTTACCGAGCAATTGGCCTCGCAGGTTTCAATTATAAGCCTTGCACGTTGCCGTAGGCTTTTGTTTATCATCTGTTCTGAGACTAGAAGACTTGAAAATGCTTTGCACCTTATTTAAACAACTTGTTCTTCCGTGGTTTTAAGTAATAAATAATTCAAGATGAGATAGATCGCAAGTTAAACTTGTTGACACACTATCTAGCTTGTTTACCCAATGTGTGCAAAGCGTACTCGAGACTTCTCCTCAACGGCTGCGCATACTTAACGCGATCTGGCAATATTCCAACTGTCCATAACTACCTGTAAGCCACATTTTAAATGTACAGAATATAGGGCATTTTATCAATCCATGTAATACGCACTATGCATGTGCAATTTGCTAATGTTGATCTGAAGACTTCTGGCGATTTGTCAATTCGCGTCGCGACTGAAACCGCGTGAAGTATGCCCGGCCCTTTAGGCCTCGGCCATCTGGGGCGATTTCAGTTTGGCAATGTTCCAAATGTTTGTAACTTATCGCAATCGCACTCTGGCACAAACACCATTCAAGCCATTTCATCAACTCACGAAGTTATGTACACCATGCACATAAGATCTGCGAAGAGTGGATTTGCAGACATTTGGCTGATTGCCAAATCGCGTGGCCTGAAATCGGGCGAGGTTTGGCCAATTGGAATGATTTGAGTTGTGTAAAATATACTTTGAGAACGGTACGGATAAAGATTGATTTCGTCGTTCTGAAAAACTTATATGAGAAAATCCCCTGCCCCTCCCCCCTCACATAAGTCTAAGCCCATGCCAGGGCCCGGCACTAGTCGGTTTCTAAGGTTTCTAGAACGAAGTCTCCCCTGACTTTCGGGAGCTTTACGAAGTCCCCTTTGGCCTACCTACTGATGAGAAGATGAAAACAAGAAAGATTTACGAGTCTGAAAGAAAAATTGTGAGATAGGAATGAAGATCCAAATCAGAGCTGAATACTACGCATGCGCAAGAGTTTGGCATTGGAGCGCGATATTTAACAATGCGATTTATGGAGAAATTAAGGCAAAAAAAGACAAAGGAAAGGCAATGATATGAAAATATCTTCATGCTTAGGGATAGATTTTTGACCGGAGAATCCGTCCATGCCAAAAAGATCCGAAACTTATGTGAACTGACGAAAATATATGCTCCAGACGATCTCAGATCGTCTGGTGGCCGTCTGAAGACGATCTAATTTTGGAAAAGGTATTTTCACAAAAGTTTTCAAATCTTTTTACATTATACTTTCGCAAATAATTTTCTATACATACAGGTCAATTTTGCTGTCATATGCTTTTGTGTGCGCTGTAAACAAGCAATTTGTTTATTTTAGCCTTGCTTTCAAATCGCGCGCACTTTTCGCCGTACATGATAGAGCATGTCAATCGTGTGTTAACCTGTTCGAAAAGCTTGTGTTTGACTAAACGGCGCTTATTATTCTTGCTCGGTCCCGACCCATCAAAAGCGATATCTCCTTTGCTTTTTGCTCCACAAACGAAGTCCAGCCTGCTTCCAGACGATCTGTGCCGGGCCCTGGCCCATGCTCGGCACAGTTTCTTTGTTCTCGATATTGACACACGTACAGTCTTGTCGGTTCGCCTGAGAGCATAATTACAATGTTACCGAACCTACTTGACTAGACAAATAGACATCTCTATGAGGACCATTTAGCCATCGCCAAAACCTGTTGCTCATGCCAGAGATCATTAAGTTCGAGTAAACTAGCCAGCGTAGCTTGTTCCAAATTGTTTCTCGTATAGAAGCTATACTATATTCTTTATTAACCATTCTTTTGGTGTTTACGCTGGGAGAATCTACGTGGTTTTTCAAAAATAAATCTTTGTTTCTCACGAATGGCACCGAAATATTTGTTGGTATATTTTTACTGTCACCAACAATTTCGTCAAAATCAGGTCAACGATAATTGCTCTTCCGAAAATAGGTGAAAGTTGTGAATAGAGAGCGTTTTTGTCTGGAAAACTCTAATATTCTGTGATTTTTGATTGATATCGTGTGATTCTTTGGTATTTTTTTCGTTAACAACAATTTGTATGGGAGTTCGGCGCCTCAGAATTGTTTGTAAGGCCTAATTTGTCACCAAATTGATAATATTGCTAGTAGCAGGTAGATAACCTTTGTTTTAGAGAAGAACGATTTTTTGAGGAATCTGATATTGTCTTCTGTAGAGTGAAAAAGAGATTTTCAAGCGATGTCGCACTCTTTTTTTGACTATGTAATCACTTAAAATTCTTTTCAAAAAGTAAACAGACGAAAAACTGTCTAGAACATACTTGCAAAACAACCAATTTCTACATCTCTCGCAATTTAAGGTAATTTCCAACAAATGCAAAATATTCGCATCGAGCAGGATTCGAACCTACGCGGGCAGAGCCCAATTGATTTCTAGTCAATCTCCTTAACCACTCGGACATCGATGCACGAACGTGTTTCGCTTTGGAGAAGTATACGACTCAGGATCTAATAACAAACAAATTTTAACTTTTTCCTTTTCCGTATTTTTAAACACTGGGATTTCTGTGTGAGTAATCTTCAAACATTTGATATTAAGGATGTGTCTTTTGTTTTTGGACTTTTCCTTTTTTGTATGAAATCATCGATAATATTAGGTTGCTGCATAAGTTCTGTCCGATTTTTTTTGCCTTGAGTTTGAAGCAGCTGTTCTAAGAAAATTTCATCTCTGCGGTATTGTTTGTTTCAGTAGAAAGCGCTTTTCTTGCTCTTTCTAATGCATATCAAATTTCAATAATTTTCTTGGTGTAGTGAGATTTCCGGCCTAAAATCTCAAAGTGGCCGAGGCATGTTCTCACCCTAGATATATATTCTTGCGAGAAAATCTCCACAATGCGCCCTTCAAGTCAAGTTCTTTCATTGTTTGCGGAATTAGGGTCTAAAAGGCTAGTATATGCAGAAGCTCATTTCCATGAAGGAAACGTCTCGCTAGTAAAATTTGTTGTCGAACGTCAATTTTTTGCATAGATGTTTTACAAGCAGTAACTTTCTGCGAATAGAAGTAATCGATGAGTTCAAAGTTGGAGATGCTAGAGTAAAGCAAGAGCTAACAGATCCCATCCACCGATTCCTTTTCGGCGCTCACGTCAATTGTAAAATTTTACTAATTCGTAAATAGGCATGCACACATGCGCTGAAACAAGGTCAAAAAGTAGCTTTTTTTTTGCTTGGTCAAAAAAATCTCTCGCCAACGCAGACCCTATGGGCTCTTTTGTGCCCCAAAATAATCTACGGAAATTTCTCTATCTATCCATTGTTAGACAAGTTGCCTATCAATTCTCATAAGGGAGCATTACCATGTCAAAAAAGACAGGTTTGAAGAGAAACGCTGTGAAGTTTTTGGGTTCTTGCTTCTTGCTTAACAAGGATTTTCGCAGGTTTCAATATGTATCTGATAGCCAAGGACTTGCTCAACACGCAAACTAAAATCATAGGAAAAAGCTGGCTTTGAAAGAAGTTATGACATTTTGAACTCAAAAAATTTAAATCGGAGAGAACTTATGCAGCAACCTAATATGTTCGATATTTGCTTGTAACAAGAATTTTGTGCTAAATTCCTAAAACTGTTCACAAGAACATTGTTTTACGTTTTTATATCACTATAAGGTAATCATTTGAAAGATCATCGGATACATGAAGAGTACTATGGTTTATACATTGCGGTTATTTCCTTAATAACACAAATCCTATGACTATAAGCAAAAGATTGTGTATTTTTGATATTTTTGTTCATTTCTCTTTTTTTTTGAAACTGTGTGTATTATATTACGTTACTCATATAAAACAAAATATTCGTTTCGGGAAGCAACTACATAGAAAATAGCACATTTTCGAAAGTTTTCGGGATTTCTCAGCAGTTATAGGAATCAAAATGGGTAAGACTTACAAACTTAGATGAAAAAAATTTGAGAAACTTATCGAAAATTTTTTTGGGGGTATAGGTAAACACCTGATCATTTAAAAATTTTTTTTTATTCCCCCCCCCCTCCCTTTTTCGTCACAAAAGTCGTAAAGTAGGGCGACGCTACTGAGTTCAGCTAAAATGTAAACTAATTACTACTTTAGCTAAACGATTTTACCTAATTAATCTTTAGTTTATTTCATTCAAAAACTTCCTTTTTTGGCTATGCTTATGCACTAGAAACCTTTCACAGTTCAATCTTCACAAGTATTCTTTGAAATATGTTCTTCCTTCTCTTTAATGGAAAATGAAAACTATGATTGTTTTTCCGTCATACTCAGAAGACAATAGAATAATGGAAGATGTAAATAAAGTTATTATAATGAAATCATGAAGGCAGAGTTCAAGTGATGGTAATGGAAACAAAAAAGTCAGAAAGCCATCACATGTCCTTGAAGAAATAGAAGAATAATAAGGGTAGAAAGTTGTCACATTTGGACAGAAACGCCCACAATTGCTTTCTTACCGTTTACGCCCCACTTTTGTTGAATTTTATTGCTTCTACTCTCCAAACCTTCCAGTTTCATTCCCTTTGTCACATAATTCGCCCCCGTGCAACTGTGAGACGCATGCCGTAACGCTTCAAAGCCCCCGAATCGTCTCTCCGAATCGAATCAATCACAGAGGGGCCCGATGGTGGAGGGGCGAGTGCTTCCGTGAATGCATCTTGGCTCTGTTGACCGGTAAATAACTGGTCCCCCCCCCCCCCTCCCCGTCCTCGTCTGGCTGCGCTTGACCAGTTCATAGCGGAGAGCCGCAGCACTACATTAAGGCATTGTCACACTTTTCACTGTGTGACTGCCTTTCTATAGAAAATCGTGGATCTACCATTATAGTAATGCTTTTGACCTAATTTGCAACCAATCAATAATTTGAGATACGTTCTTTTATTTGATGTAGCTTCTTTAGATAAGTATCTCTCAAGACTACAGAAACCAGGAAATTCTACAGCCTTGCAAGGGTTGTAGAGCTGATTTATAATAATTTTACCCCAAGAATCATTTCCTCATCTTGAAAACTAGTCAATAACGATCTTCAGGGTACAAAAAGTGCCGTTCTCGCTCAAGTGGCTGACACCATTAGATTTATTCTCCTCACATTTTTATCCCTGAGTTTTATTCCAGTCAAATGCCATTTGCTTACCTTAAATAATCAAATTTCCATTTCGTCGTGGTAGTTTTAGATTACTTGATTTTGTTCATACAATTAAGTAAAATACGGTCCTTTTGCACAAATACAGTAAGCTACCGTAATCCGCGTGGAGCGTGCGCTGCCATATGTCGTTACCTGGATACAACATCACAAAAATAATTCTTCTACGGCCGCAAAAAGGCGTCCAGGCTGCTAGAGTCATTTAGGGTTACGGTAGCGTACGGTAGTATTTGTGCATCTTAACACAAATGTGTACTTGGATATGCAATTACAGTCCGTGTCAAGCACATGCTCCCTTTTCCGTAACCGCAATGAGCTTCGCGTCATGCTCGCGCGCGTATGGTTCGGGCATTCAAATTAGCCTCATCGATTGGAGGTCCACACGCAGGGCCTTTGCGTTGCGCCTGCGTGGTCCCATGCGGAAGGGATCACGTAATTTACATTGACTGTATGCTTGATTGATTATCTGATTCAGTTTGCATGAGAAGGTGAAGTGCGGCCTTTTTGCACACCTACAGTAGGCTACCGTTTGAGCATAGGCTTACCATGCGTGTTTACAGCGATTTAGCCCGAAGGGAAAGTATATTTTCATTCACAATCGCAAAAATTTCCTCAGTTCAGGTCATTAGAGCCACCAGGATTACGGTAATATACGGTATATGTGTCAAAAGGCCGAAAATCCTATAAAAATCCGCCGTGCTATATTTACCTGCTTTTTTGAAATCAAAAGCACTTTGCGCTGCATTTGATTTACAATTTGGTGTACTAATTAGTTTTTAGATAAATAGCATATGAAATCTGCAGCTATAATCCTCATGGTCACAAGTTTGGCTCGATCTCAATCGATAATCGATTGCAAATTCGAGGACGATTTATGCGGTTGGACAGCTGAACTACCGTGGACCATCTCGGATAAGACATTTATCCCAAGTCCACTCAATTTCAGTCCAATGACCTTGATAGGTGGTAAGTTAGCAAAGAAAGTTGAGAGAATTTCGATCGATATATCGATTTTTCTGCAGATGGCGAATTCATCACAGCACAAGGACATTTTGGCTCGAATTCAAGTGCTGATCTCATTAGTCCAGAGTTGGATCCGTCAGATGCTCATAGTATATTGTCTTTCAAATATACAAAAACTCTAGGTGACGCTAATCTACAGGTGATTACCGTATTTGCGGATTTTCTAGAATTTTATCGATTATTGCAGATTATGCTAAAAGAGGGAGATAATTACCGTAATCTGGACCAAATATCAACGAATATATTGGCGTTTTGGATACGGCGTTCATTAGTCGTACCAAGGACAGATCAACCTTATCAGGCAAGTTTTTCATATACCCTAAGATCAATCGATATATTGATTCTTCAAGGATTACTGTAAAGGGTAAAAATTCGATATATCGATTTTTTTAAAGATTGCAGAACTGAAAAAATGGATATATTGACTTGTTTAGATAGTCTTTCGAGTAAGTAAACTCCGAACCGGATTCGATTACATATCGATCGATGACATCATGCTTACAAATACTAGTCCCAAATCGATTCTATCAGCCGACGAAGAAATCAGGTGCCGAATTAATCGTACCAAATGTGCTCGAAGACGTTGTGCACCGTGCCGATCGTGTTTGGTTCCATGCTGTTGTAGGCCTCATCTCATACCGATGTCAAAAAACGTGGGACCTCGTGAATTGAGACGATCTCCATCCACCCTGAAGCCCCTAGATTTGACTCGTAAGTGGATTTAAATGTCCAATAACAACAGGCAAACAAAATTTAGCTCAATTTTACACAGATTTCATGGAATCTATCTAATATACAATGAAACGTAAGCGCAATTCAGAAATCTGCAAATAGCGGGAAACCGCTTGGCGGTCCTGAAGCGCGCAGATGCAATCTGGCATCTTTATTACTGGTTCACTGATTTAAAAAAACAATTAATGTTGTTGTGCATGCTGGCAACACGTTATCATACCATACCGTAACCACGTTATATCCGTTATCAGAGGTTGGTGACTCCTACACAAATTTCAATGATTAATGAAAGCAGTAGTGCCACTTTAGGGCCTCTTTGTAGGGATACAAGCAAAAATTCCGCTACGCGATTCTATGGTAAAGATCCAAACTTCCAGTAGGATAGGTCACGCTGAAGCGCTAAGATTCTAAGAGCTTACGGGTTAGTGGCCAAAATTTTCGACAGATTAGGTAAGGAGTTAGAATTACTGTACAGTAAGTCACTGTAAGACAAAGTTTACTAGGTTACAGTAAGGTGCTATTAGGTTTGGTAGGTCACATTTTGGAGCGAAGGTATTCGCACGTTAGGTTACCGTTAGGAGCGTAAACAGTCTATTCCCCTTTATCCCCCCCCCTCGCCTCCCCCTACACCCTACAATTCCTAAACATTAGTACGGTAGGCTACGATAAGGAGTCAAAAACTTTGCATTTTGTTCTACTTTGCATAGATTGTGATAAAGTCTCCTCCAGGAGTACTACCTTTATAATGATGCCTTGAGTAACGGAAGGGCCAGAAGTTTACTGGATTTCTCAGAATGCAAGGTAACAAACCAATATTATGTCTTTATCGGTACTCCTATAAGGAAGTTGCAGCAATCATTGTGTTTTCAATTTTTATAGTACACCACCAGAAATTCTTTTAGTTTTATTTTGCCGTATGATCCTTTCTGGTATCACAACAGGTTACCGTAAACCAAAATTTCACGCCTGTAACTTTGCGCAGAAAAGAGCCATGCTCGCCACAATATTATACCCATTTTTTGCGGCTCGTTGTTGTTGGGTTACGATAGGTGATAGTAGGGTCGGAAAAACTGTTACTGCTTTATATGTAATTCCCACTGTACGTATAGATTTATGTCCATGATCCATGCTTTTCTATGCGATGTAACAATTTTTTGTGTTTTTTACTCTTTACACTACCCCTACCATAAGCCTATAGAAAAATTCTACAACAAAGTCGATCACTTCTCAAAACCAGCTCGTCATGTAATCCCTTTTATTGAAGTCATAACGAAATTTGAAAATTCTTGACTTTGTGTATGATCATGTATCAATAATCGATTCAGATCGACCTCCAACGCAATGCGCTCTTGTTAAGTGCTCATTCAGAACTAGCGCATGTGCTTGGTAAGTTTTATTAAGGATCTCTGAACTGCTAATCAATAGTCATCTCCTTTTCAGGACATACGATCGTTGGAAACTACTCAACGGGAAGATTGTTAACGAAGGTCAAGGAGATGCTGTGCTTAGCAGCGAACCAGTTCTTCTACCGATGAACGCTCATTTTGAACTGGATGTTCTTGCCAGGTAGATTGAGCTGTTCATGTCTCGATGTTGAAATTAGGGAATGCTGATCTAGCTACATAATGTCAGTATGAAAGTGAAATTAATACCATAAAAAGTTGTCCTGTCCTCCATTAAAAAACTATGGACGATACAGCCAGTTTTGTCCGGACAGGTTGACAGTGAATCTGGAAAATTTAGTGGTTTTTACGCGAATATATCGTTTCACTCTCATACTAGCATCAATTATAGTAAATCATCAGCTCAGCATCAATATCGTTACTAACCAGTTTGAGGGGATCAGAATATTTTATTGCGGTGTGTTTTTCAGCACGGAAAATATTAAACGTCACGAAGTCGATAAAAAGTCACCTTCTGAACGATCAAATTTTGATCCTCATCTGTTTATTTTTCACTCGTATGTTAAAATATTGAAACAAAACAATAATGATTGACTTGTAAGGTAAGTAGAATATTTGATCAACTGTAACCCCTTATACTAATTAAAATTCCTTATATTTCAGCTTTTTTCCTTTCACTTGTTTATGTTTCATTTTAGGGTGTTGAATCGCTAAAAAGCACAACATATAATGGATTAGGTTGGAACATAAATAATACCCGTAACTATTGAAAAATTGTAATCTTCTTCAATTTCAGCACAAGCGCTGTATTTTGTAGCGATATGATGTGCTTTCTAATGATCTTTAAAACAGATATAAAAAACTTTGGGATTTTATTTTTTGGGCGCAAAAAACGCTATGAATCCAAATGTTTTACTTGATTTGGTTGGTCACGTGTTTTTTTCTAAAAAGAGGAATTCTTGCCAAAGGAATTTTCTAACAGTTATGGTTCAAAATTTAAAATTTCTCCTTTTGATTACACTAAGATTCATGATAAAGTATGCTCAGCGTAATTTAAACATAAACGTCACTCAAAATTTCTTTTCAAAAATGTTCATCCTTATTTTCTGCCACGTTGTAAATTAAAGGTCGCAGACGATTGAATGTACAGGGTGCGGCAAAAGTCTGGGAGCCTAACTTTGCAATACTGCAATTAAAAAGATACTGATGGTTTTGATTTCAATTTTATGCCACATGATGCTGCGGTCATCCTCAACAGAATACACTTTATTTGGATGGAAATGGCTATCATATGTTTTTGTAAAAATGGAAATTACCAAACTAGTGCTTTTGCAAAGCGAAAAAACCAGAATTTTTGGTATTTACAATTTTTGCTGTAGCTAGAGATGCTGCTGATATTTTACAAAACTCTGAGGCATACAACATAGAAGAGGCTTTGCCTAATGTATCCTAGTTTTGCTTTTGCCAGGAGATGTTCTTGCATGAACGGAAAATAACAGTTTGCGAATGTTACCTACGTGCCAGTGGAAATCCGTTTTCAGAACAAATTTAAAAGCTATAGAGTGCTCAACAGGCACTGGGACCAAGGCTGTATTTTTTGCGTACGTCTTCTAAATTAGAATCTATTGAAATTCGGCCATGGAAACATTTTTTATACTTCTTAAACGATATTTTTAAGTTTTTATTCGCGCAATTGTAGAAAATTCCGGTATGCGACGTACACATGCTTCTAATTTAAAATCCAATATTTTTATTCCTAGCGATGCGAAAAATTCTTCTGGAAGTATGTTGTAGACAAAAGTTTGCTCTATCACGCTGCGCATTTGTCAAGGTAAAAGAAGCAGTTATTTTGAAGGCGTGGGGCGAATTCCATTACGACTACCTGCGTGCCATGACAGGTGGACCGCCAAGATTTTGTGGGACTGCGTGGAAGCCAAAAGAGGCAGTTTTGCGATTCAAGAACTGGGCTGTATCTGCAATGGTTCGAATTATGTGTGCGCCAAATTTTTCGTTTCTAGGCACTTCCCTTCTCATTTTGTACGAAAAAGTACTAGGCTTCCAGACTTTTGCCGCACCCTGTAATTTGGTGATTGGTTGCAGGGAGAATTAAGAAAACACCCGCTACAATAGAATACTTTCTAGCTTTCCCTCTTCCTGAAATTTCTACAAAAATACGGGTTCAGATAGGTTGATTAGTATGTCTGTCTCATGTTGCCCTATTGAAGTTGAAGTCAGCTTATAACTGGAAGATTTGCAGCGAGCTCTCAGCTGTGTCGGTCTATCAAGTATTCGGTTCTGAAGAGAATCTAATTTGGACTCAACGTGGTATAATTATAGCAGGGTGGAATCGAATACGACTTCCTTTGAGGTAAACTTTATTGATTTTGAAAAAAAAACAGCAAGCCAGAAATAGTTCAGATTCTCTCCCATGCCATCTAGGCTCGTTATCAAAACATCCACAGCCCGAGGTCAATTTGTTGCCATTACGAATACAAACATTGTTGATGAAAGTGGAAGAGACTTAGCTTGCGGTGCTTTTTTTAAACGATCAATACATCGATTTTATCAAGAACTGGTCCTAGGTGGAAATATGCACGTTATCCGGCCGAAATATGATAATCTCATACGTCTTACCGCTATTCAGAGGATTGATCCTGGAGATTCGGAAGTTAGTTTTATTGTTTTTCTTCAATTTTGAAACTTATGGATTATTTACAGACTTCTACCAAGAAGCCTATCCTCCGCGTATTGTCGACCACTACCCGACCCCCCGCAAGAGTTCGACCAATTTCTTCACATGTGGTCCGTTCCATGCAAAATTCCTTTTCCATTTCCGCTCCCGCTCAAAGCGAACCGTCACCTTTTGCAGTAATGCCAATATCTCCATCGGAGGTGAGAAGCCTGCATTGAACGATAAAATCAATATATTGATTTTTTGAGGTCTCCTCAAATCAGCAGATTGATCCACCCCGAACAACCCGCCCTACACCTGTTAGCCCTTCAGCTTTTATGCCTATCAAGAAAACCAACATCACACTTCCAATTATGGGACCGGAACCTACATTTCCTACTCCTGTTGTGGCTGAGACTAAGAGAACACCATCTATTCAAGTAATTCAAAAATTAAAAATTCGACTGCAATCTCAAAATTCTTTTTAGGACCTTATTACTGGCATAGCTGGGCAGCCAATATTTGAAGGGCAGCTGAAATATCTTGCCAAGGTATTGCCATGGCAGGTTACAAATCGTTTGCTAATTTATTGAAATTTTTCAGAAATTCGGCTTTGATCGAATGACGGGCGAACAAGCAGCGCAACGGTTAATGCAAATTCAGCAAGTGCTTGGAAGCCTGCGACCTCCTCCCACGAGCAATCGAAAACCAATTTCTCCAGTTAATGCTAAGGTTGATAGCAGCATTAAGACTCAGTATGGTGTTCTTGCGATGTTGACAATACTTGCGCGTAAAAGGTCATGAGACTGAGAATTTGCGCACTAATGCCGTCGCTTTAACCGCTTTCCCGCGCAAATGTTGTCGGCACCGTGGACACTGCATAGTCGTCAAAACCAGATTACTTTATGCAATGTAGCTTATCACAGGAAGAGAACACTATACCTCCCGATTTGATATCGAAATTAGCATCCATACTACCCTCAAGCAGCACCATCAACGGGGCACTGACAAACAAGATCACACAATTTATCGCGTAAGTTTTTCCTTTCTCGATAAGATTCTTACAACTTGGCTAGCGTCTCCTCGCAGCCTTCTGGCACCACTAAATGTGATCCGCCTACAGTAGGGGCTGTACTTTGAACCGAATCGAATGATTATTCGATTATTCGAATAAATCATCCGAATGCGAATGATTCGAAAATTCGAATATTCGAAAATCTGAGATTTCGAATAATATTTGACAGTCGAATACTCGAAAATTTTCATTTTCGAATATTATTCGAAAGTCGAATATTCGAAATTCTCAACTTTCGCATATTATTCGATAGTCGAATATTCGATGGTCATTAATTCGATCATTCGATGTCCATGGAATATTCGAATATTCGATGAGCACCGAATATTCGAAAATTCGATAAGAATTGACTATTCGAAAAGTCGAAGCATCGAATATTCGGAAATTCGATATCCACAACATATACGGGGTGTCCCAAGGGTATGTACAAACTGTTTAATCGCTGATACCTCTCACGAAGTCTTTTGCCAACCTTTAAGTAACATCCTGTAGGGATGGCTTCAGCTTACAAATACAGCAGAAAGAAAAACACCTATGTTTTTCTTGTTGTGTTATCACTGTATGAACTTAGCATATAGAGCAACTGCGAAATGAGACATTCACCAGAGTTTCCTCAGCAAAAAAGAGATTTCAAATCTATGTAGCAGGATTTTACGTATGTTTAACTATGCACGGGCTATCAAGCCTTTTAAATGTGCATTCTCTTTTTTGAAAAGCGTTGAAAAACATCTGTTATGGTGTACCTGGCATAAGTTGCAAAAGGCGTTACGGCTGAGTGCAAATTTTTTATATAGTGAGTGTCTTTAGAAGCCTAGTGTAAGATCGGCCTTTTTGTTTCTTATTCTTACGGCTCTTGATATCTCAAAACCCTCCTCAGTTTTCCTACGGTAATTTACAACAGTGAAAAGCGATCTATACATCGCTTCATACTGTAAGTCTAGGTTGATGTCAGCCCACAGATTCACATACTGTTGAGACCCCTGTATGTCAGTCCACAACTTTCAACGAGAATAAATAATCTTCTTTGATTTTTGAAATTCCTTTACAACCGTCACGTACGCTTTTAGGTACTTAAAGGCAGCGTCCCAAAAGACGGGTCTGGGAATTTGTGGCGATGTTAAATTGAACCCCCCCCCCTACCTAAGGCGGCGACGAAGTTTGGAGCGAAAAAGAGGGTCTGGTAAGCTTGAAAATTGCTCCCAAAGTGGCCCGTCTTACGGCAGGCCCGAATGCCGCCCGTACAGCGGATTCGAACTGCAAGGCCAGAGAACGCATAGCGCACACAGCCATGAGTGCAGGGTCCCGCAACGACTCTGCGTCTCTACCCTGCATGCACCTCGTACTCACGAGCCTACCGTAAGATCCGGGCCACTTACGGGGCAAATTTTAGGCCTGGTAGCCCCCTTCTTCGCTCCGAACATCAGTCACGCTTAGGTGGGGGGACTACTTTAACATCGCCACAATCCGGCACCCATCTTCTTGCCGGGGCTGCAACTGAACCGTTTTTTCATTGTAAATTGAAACATAAAAATGTCTAGCCTGAAAAATTCGTTCTGAGATGTTTTGGTCTCTCACATATAGTCTCACTGACATAATTTATTCGCATGGTATTCGAAAATCGAATGATATTCGAAAATCGAATACTGTTCGAGAACCGAATAATATTCGAAATTCGAATATCGAATGATATTCGATATTCGAATATTATTCGATTCGAAACTTTCTATTTTCGAATAATATTCGATAGTCGAATATTCGAAGTTTTCAATTTTCGAATAATATTCGATAGTCGAATATTCGAGAATTTCGATTTTCGAATATTATTCGATATTCGAATATTCGAAAAAAATTTCGTATTTCCCAAAGTATAGTAGGGGCATAGAAGGGCACCTTGTAGAATCTTATAATGTAAGTGCGCCCTACCTGAGGTCTCAAACCGCAGTGCTACGAAAGCTACTCTTTAACCACTTCAAAACAACAATCTTGGCTCGATTTGTAATGTTTGTATCATAGGGATCACGATTCAGCCGTATGAACTTCAATGCCTAAAGATCCATGAGATCGGGTCGCGAAATTTTTGAAAGTTACTTGCATGGATTACAAAAATTTGCTAGTGACTGTTCATACTTGCAAATACTTGAAGAAGTTTTGAAATTTCGAAAAATTTACATTGGTTTTGTGAAGAAAAAATTTGAAGAGCATCAAAAAATTCGAGTGCGTGGCTGACGCCACGTAGCTGTATTCAAAAATTTTTTTGCCCCCCCCCCCAAACGGAAACTGTGTGACCGCCACTGCTTAGCACTGTCGTGTTAGAGAATACAATTTTGGAGGGATTTTGTTAACTTTGACAAAAGAAAAATGACTTTGAATACTGATGGTCGATCTCCCGGGATCATCAGGGGATCATACGAAAAGCTGAAAAATGCGGCTTGTACAACTTCGCTCCTATTCCACATGTTTATAGTGAAGCATAGTAGGAGTATTTGTGGATAGGTAGACAGCGTGAAATCCAGAAGTTCGAAGCTTCAGGATATGAAGCTGTTGCTTTCTGTTGAGCTGCGATCCCCTCCTCGGCTGAGATGTTAATGCGTGCGGCTCTAGAGTACTAGTTCTAATCTAACGTTCGAAACTTGTGGCAGACTTCAAGTTGTCATATTTTGCGTATATTTTTGTTTTGGCTGTGGGACATGCACCCCGATGTTAAAACTGTTACTATACAAACGAATGCGCGGTTAGCGCTCTGAGGTACTCTTCCGTCTTAAACTGTAATAGAAAGACATGCATGAGCGAAGCATACGCCCACTTTTAAACCAGGGTTTGGGAGGAAGAGTTCGAATAGGGTGCAATACAACATTTCCAAGAAAAAGCTGTATGTGAGCTAAAAAAAAAAGAAAAAGAGAGAAAGTCCCATAAAGTAAGAGCGCCACGTAGTGGTAGCGTGCCAGCTGGCTGTCAAGAATACGAACACCGATCAGTACTTATTAGTTTATCCATAAGACATCAAATTGACTGAAAACAGTATATGAACGGTCGGGAATAGGAAGTGATAAGGGAGGAGGTTGAGCCGGTAGATCAGAAGTAGCACTGGATCGGAGCGGCATCAGCCAGCGACGAGTGGGGTACGGTGGACGACCAGTCGGCAGCTCGAGACTTGGTACGGGATATCCGTCTTGTGCTCTCGGTGACGGCTTATATGCCATACTGCAGAATGCGTGTCATCCTCATATCTGCAACAATTGATTAAATTCTCATAACATGCTTTGTTTTTACCTAGGCATTATATCTTGTTCTAATAACATAGCTCTTCGCTTGCACGTCTCCGTGCACACACGCTTACAATAAGCAATGCGAAGAAAACCTATCACATAGAATCATTGCAATTTGAGTTCCCTATTTTCTTTTGCATGAAACGATAGCTTCAGAAAATATTGTGACGCATTTTTAGGACTTTTGGGGGAGGGTGGATCGGTTTTTGTTGTACCTCGTAAAAACATTTATTGTGCCCACTAACAAAGATCTCACATTGAAATTTCTTGCGTCTTCTCTTCATCACCAGTTGTGCTGAGGGTGTGCGGGTGTTTTTTCATTGATAACTTATAAACATGATGGCTATATCTAAAAAAATCTATCTGCTTAAATTATTCTGTTTTAGGCCTCCGCAAAGTCATGGCGACGACTCGAAACCATTTTCCCGAGATAATATGGATTTTGTGATACAGAATGCATACAACGCTTACATGAATCAAGCTCGTCCTTGAGTATTAGGATTAGTAATGAAATTGATTAGGCTTAATTATAACACTTTTCTGTACAGTGTGCCTTGCTAATTTGTATTATGTACGGTTTGATCTCAAAGCTTTCAACATGTTGTGTGTTTACTATGATTTTACATATTTGAGAACTCTTTTTAGAAAAATTTTGTTTACAAACCAAATAAAGTTTGATTATTGAAAAACCCATAACCTGCCTACCAATTTCTTCAAATTGACAATGCGCCCCACCGAACCTCAGCCCGCCAACAGCGGTTCATAAAAGATTTCAGTATTTTGATATTTCACTCATTTCTACTACTGACGTGTTTATCAATGCCACAGTATATCCACGTACAAATTTTCAGCAGTTTCATCAAGTTTACAGGATGACTTTGAAAATGAAGAGTGATTTCCTAACGATCCTTCAGGGGATCACGCGAAACAGGGGAAGCTCAACTTGTATGGCAATATTCTGTCATTTATCATACTCAGATATCAGGGTATGTGAACCTTCATTACATAAATACATAATACAGGGTCCACTTATAGTAGCGAGATATGACGCGTCCACTCTCGGATCTCCCCCCCCCCTCCCCTCCGCTCCGCGGGGATGTACGTGCATACGGGCCTGAGTATAGCACTGCTGTGTGTATTACGCTAATATATCATTCACGTCGCGTACTTTCCTTTTGTAAAAAGAAGTTTTATGTTGATTCGCAAGTATGTGATGTGATGTTGTTGCGGCAAGCATTATAGTCTTTATGAATATATCTGTCGATCTGTCGAGCGATAATCTGAACAAGTTGGTCATCTATACACGATTCATGACACGAAAGGCTGGGCGCCGTTGCGTCCGACCAAGATAATTCGTGGATGGGAGAGACCGCAGATGGTAAGAAAAACGAAAGAGCGCTCGGTCAGGGAGACGCTGATACGTCAGCAGTCTTTGCGTCTACGAATCGATATCATGCAATAACTGGAACAATTTAAAACTTTCCACACTGCATGCGAAATGGAAACCTTTTGGAAAATGAAAGAATGCTACCACCAGTTTGATGTAAAATCTTCAAAGAAGGTTGATTTACGTCTAACAACTCGCATTCTAACGCTTCAGAGACGTCGCTTGCATCCTAACTGCACCTCCCAAAAGCTACGATCGCGAAGAATTTCATTATGATTTTACCGTTGTCAATACTGTGTGCCTTCTCTGTTACGGCATCTTTTTCGGGAAAATTAGAAATGTCAATCACTAACTAGGTTTGTTAGTGCGAGGGCGGATTCTGAGGTGGGATAGAGGGAGTCATAGAAGAATTCATGATTAGCTTTAAAAAACAAATACAACAACTAGGACAGCTGGAACAATGTCCGGGCTGCCTTATTTATAGCCACCACGGTACGAAGTACATGGTCAAGATTAACACTCGATAATCATTGCCTACTAGCTGGCTTACCCGGCTCCGCCGTATGTTCCGAATAGAAAATTCCATTTCTTAACCGATCCGGACCAAACTTGGCACACATACCCTTCGGGCCCCGGCGGGTGTCACAGTCCACTTTTCGTTATCGATCGATGTCGATTTTATCGATTTTTTGCAAAATTTGAGCTATGGGGCTAGAATTTGGCAGAAGGGTGTAATCGAGCATGCTGATCACCCCCACGGGGGTGATCAGCATGCTCGATTACCCCTGTGCCAAATCCCAGCCCCGTAGCTCAAACTTTGCAAAAAAATCGATAAAATCGATAAAAGTAATGCACGATTTTAAAAACTAATATTGTATTCGGAATCCCCATGCCCACTTACCCCCCTGTGCCAACTCCCAGCCCCGTAGCTCAAATTTTGCAAAAAATCGATAAAATCGATATCGATCGATACGAAAAGTAGCCTATGACACCCGCCGGGGCCCGAAGTGTATGTGTGCCAAGTTTGGTCCCGATCGGTTCAGAAATGGAATTTTCTATTCGGAACATACGTACACACATACAGACAGACAGACATACAGACAGACAGACAGACAGACAGACAGACAGACAAACAGACATTCAGCTTTATATATAAGATGGCCTTTATCCACTATGGCATCCATCTTTGGTAGAAAGAGTTTCTATCAGTGGGATTATCTGGAACTTTACGGCATTACTGCAAAAGAAGTGCTTTCGGCTGTACTGACGTGCGAATCCACAATTGTTTTTTGGTTTTGATTACCTTAACGCTGGTTTCTAGAGATATCGCAATTTGCTTTGTCGGAATTTTTTATAAATTATGCAGCCAATCCGGCAAATTTCTTCATTACTTGACAAGGTTGGTTCCAACTACAGGGTGTCCCAAAAAATGTATCGAACGTTTGATCGTTAATATCTCTCTTCTAAAAAAGTCTTTTCTCTTGCTTTAGGTACCAATCTGTAGAGCTGGCTTCAACTTAGATTTGCATTACAGAACGAGTCATTCATTTCGCTTCATTACTGTAGGATTACGGTAGAAACTCCAAGGAGGGTTTTAAGCAATGAAAGGCCATATTTTGCCTCAGAAAGGAAACAAAACAGCCTGAAAGCTTTTACACTAAGCTAATTAGAGTTGCTGATTATAACTGTAAATTGAGATTGATGTCTTGTAGCCAACGCCGAGATTGTTACAAACTTTATTGGCCAACGTTTCGGCTTCTCGCCTTCGTCAGGGCCTTAATGGGGTATCGATTCGTAACCCAGACGGGCAAATGTCTTTACGGCCTTACGAAAAAGGTCTAAGCCTTAATTTTGGCCACTAGCTTTGCAACAGTTACTCACCGCACAAACAACACCCTTGGTAGAACGACCGCTGGGCTGACCGTATATGGAAGAACTAAATGGGAGGTCAGCATAGTTGGCTCAGATAAGGAGATAGTTCTCTCGTGATTGCAAGGCATTCTTCTTTACGGTTGATTTGTGGGTTCCTAGCATGAATCCACAATGCTTCTAGAAACTTGCGAGCAGCCGTTTTAGGTTCACGTGCTAATATCTTTACGGTCACTTCAAAACTCGATCCTTCATGCCTTAGTACTCTGTGTGTTCCTAACGGAGTAGAAGTTCGCTGTTTATCCCTGCCATCTAGGTGTTCTTTTATACGAATACATAGGGGACGTGCGGTTTCACCTACATACTCGTCTCCGCAGACGGTACAGGAAATGGAGTAGACCACCCCAGTTGACATGCAATCTCCGCTTCTACCTCCTGGACATATAATACAATTGTCCGTAGTACAGCTGCTATCATACATGCGATTTCTTACTAAAATGCGCTTCAGGTTGTTCGGTGGTACTTCTACTATCGACACCAAATCAACTAGTCCTACTTTCCTAAGGCTTCTGCGCATTGCTGTACTTATCTCGGTGGAAATGAACGGGACGTAAAAAGGGATCTTTTCGTTGGGTCGGTCTCGCAAACTCTTTCCGTGCTTCGTTGTACCTGTGAAGTTCCCGTACCCATTCGAGGAAGCTATTTGGCGCGCAAGCTCAAGTGATTCTTTTCTTTCTTTCTCTCCACTACACACCTGCGAAGCTGTTCGGAACATATTCTTAATAACAGCTCTTTTTGTCCAAGGTGGGTGAGCGGATTGAAAATGAATCAGGATATTCTTGTTGCTCGGTTTACGGTACCACTTCGTCACGTGCATACCCGTGGTGATGTTCACTTGCACGTTTAGAAACGGTAACCAATCGTTTTCCGGCTTCTCTCTCGTCAGTTTTATATTCTCTGATTGCTTATTGAGTAATTCAAAGCACTCATCAAGCTCTGCTTGTGTCGCGCAAATTACAAAGCAATCATCAATATATCTACAGTAGAGTAAGGGACGGTGTTCCAGAACAGGCGCTTCTATTTTGGCCATGAATGCTATCGCGAGTGCCGGTGCTAAGCGTTGTCCCATTGCTAGTCCTCGTATTTGCATAAAGTAGCTCCCAGACCATCTAAAAGTATTACATTCTAAACACGCTTTCAATAGAGCCATGATTTGTGGTATGGATAATCCGTGAAGGTTCAGGGATTTTTCATGGCATATCAGCAATTCGCATATAGCTTGCATCGCGGATTCGTTGCTCACATTTGTGTAGAGAGCATTCACGTCAAATGATTCCACGATGCATTTACTATTGATACGTGTTTCGCGTAGTCGGTCTAAAAACATTTGCGTATTGGCTAGATGCGATGGGATGAATCTGAGTAGTTGAACGAGTATGGTATTGATGAACCACCCTATTCTATCCGTAGGCCCCCCTACACCGCTTATTATGGGTCGTACCTTGAATGTGGAGGGATCGTTCGAGGCCAATTCCGTATCAGACTGGAGCTTATGAGTTTTGATTAGCAAATATAGCACAGGACAGGTAGGCAGTTCAATTTTCAAACGAGCAATGATATCGCGCGGTAAGTTGGCAGTTTTCGCTATGGATACCCACTCTCTGTTAAGTTTTCTGTATTGTTTTTGAAACATCTTAACAGTTGCAGGCTGATATAGCGATGTGTCTTGGAGGTGTCTTTCTGTAATCGCAGCATCGAGTTGTTGTGGGATTACCACGAACTCGCCTCCCTTATCGCTGATTGAAAGTCGTATTTGCTTCGATCTAACTAACTGCTGAATTTGTTGTATGCCCTGTTTCTGAGCTAAAGTGAGGTTAGACTGCATTTTCCGTTGCCGTACCCGTGCTAACATTTTGAACACTTCGTCTGTGAAAAGACGAAAGGGTATATCGGTTTTGGGATTGGCATTTTGTTGTTTGTAAAATGCACTCGGGAATGGTATTGCTAGACGCGCACTTGCTACTGCTTGGTTCACGGCTTGACTTTCTAAGGCTGCTCTTTTACGTAGACTGTTTTGAAGCTCGTTTAGGCTACAAGTAATCTTTCGCAATGTTCTAGTCGAGACGGGCTGAGAGGGTGAAAGACTAGGACCCAACTCTAGCACCTCACGCGCGTTAGAAGGCAGAGAATAACCGCCAATCACGGTGATTCGAGACTTATCTGAGCAATTTGATTTGTTCTCATCTACAGTACAGCAATGCGCAGAAGCCTTAAGAAAGTAGGACTAGTTGATTTGGTGTCGATAGTAGAAGTACCACCGAACAACCTGAAGCGCATTTTAGTAAGAAATCGCATGTATGATAGCAGCTGTACTACGGACAATTGTATTATATGTCCAGGAGGTAGAAGCGGAGATTGCATGTCAACTGGGGTGGTCTACTCCATTTCCTGTACCGTCTGCGGAGACGAGTATGTAGGTGAAACCGCACGTCCCCTATGTATTCGTATAAAAGAACACCTAGATGGCAGGGATAAACAGCGAACTTCTACTCCGTTAGGAACACACAGAGTACTAAGGCATGAAGGATCGAGTTTTGAAGTGACCGTAAAGATATTAGCACGTGAACCTAAAACGGCTGCTCGCAAGTTTCTAGAAGCATTGTGGGTTCATGCTAGGAACCCACAAATCAACCGTAAAGAAGAATGCCTTGCAATCACGAGAGAACTATCTCCTTATCTGAGCCAACTATGCTGACCTCCCATTTAGTTCTTCCATATACGGTCAGCCCAGCGGTCGTTCTACCAAGGGTGTTGTTTGTGCGGTGAGTAACTGTTGCAAAGCTAGTGGCCAAAATTAAGGCTTAGACCTTTTTCGTAAGGCCGTAAAGACATTTGCCCGTCTGGGTTACGAATCGATACCCCATTCAGGCCCTGACGAAGGCGAGAAGCCGAAACGTTGGCCAATAAAGTTTGTAACAATCTCGGCGTTGGCTACAAGACATCAATCTCAACTTATAAACTATGCCGAGATTTATCGAGAGTCGTACATGCTATAACTGTAAAGTTCCCAACTTATCATGATGCTTCATTGAAGAGTTATGCCAGGTAAGAGGTAGCGGCCATTTTTTCGATGTTCCTAAAAGGTGCGGTTACACCGATTAAAAAGCTTCATAATCTTGTGAATAGTTGAGTATTGAATTCAGCGTCCATAAAAGCCCTATTACACAAGTTTTCAGATCTTTTTGGAAAATTTTTGAAACGGCAGCTTTTTCCACAGTGACACCATATGTTCCAAGTTTCTACCGCATTCCTACAGTAATGAAGAGAGATGGGTGATTCGTTTTATAATGCAAATCTAAGTTGAAGCCAGCTCTACAAAACGGTACCTGAAGCAAGGCAAAAGACTTCTTGGGAAGAGAGATATTAACGATCAAACGTTCGATACATTTTTTTGGGACACCCTGTATAACGTTGCTTATTTACAACGCTGAAAAGAATACTATACAGTGCACGTATCGTAGAGAGTTCAAAAGTATTGCGTCTTAGTCTATCCAAGAAGCTCTCCTTTTATCAATGTCGTGCTGATTCAGAGCACATGGGGACCTGCTTGACTATCAGCTATCTAGCCTCCTACACTCCTCTATATTTAGCGTCCTCCATATTGGCTGTCTGCCGCAAAAATAATTTTGTATGTTTTGATAATTCCCGCTTGATAAAGGCTTAGTAAAAAAAACCCCATTTGCACATAAATGTGTCAGTTCCTAGGCTCCAAATTCCATTTTAAACCAGCTCACTTCACAAATCTTTCTTAGCAGCGAACGATACTTGGTGACCCCGGCCATTCATAATGGTTTGTATATTAAAAAAGGGGCCTTTTAATGCTGGTTCGAATACTGTTTTCCATATTTGCGAAACGTGAACCTGGATGGAGTTACATTTATTTTTTTAATGAATTGCGCTACTGCGGAGGGTGAAAATCCTTAATAAATATTTTGCTTTCCTCTTCAATGCTAGATATGACTTAGATAGATATAAATACAACGTTACACCTTTCATGATTCTCCTCAATAGCTCCAAACGGTAAAATAGTTTGAAATGGGTGATTTTAACTGCCTCATGGTACGCAAATACTCTACGAAAAAACTTCGTAATTGCCTTCATATGATCGTTCCGCAGATTCGAGCACGATTTAGAAGCAGCGTTTCGAAGTGCATCTTATGGTAATCGCTTTTTCAAATGGCCGTCATCAAGTATCTTTTCCTTGTTAGAATTCTAGTTCGACAATATGATAATAAAATAGTGCATTAAAAAATAAGTGCCGCATGATATTATGACACGCTATGTATCGTTTGTTCCCCAGCAAGATTCCCATAGGTACCACGTCATCTCGCTGCTTTTCCCTCTATTGAACGTGTTAACCTCGGGCAGTTCCATTGAAATCTTAGGAGAAAAATGTCAAAAAGAGCGAAAGGCAGCGTCGCACAACGTACGCACGCTGTTCACAAGGAAACTTTTCTGGGGCACACAGGATAAACCTTAAGGCCATCAGTAGTATCTTAAAAGCACTGCTGTTTTTTTAAATTTTTTTACTTGTTATGCAAAAGGCATGCCACGTCTAAAAAATCAATGATTATACTTAGGACATTATTAGCAACAAAGAAAACAATAAAAACATCCATTAAGTCAGTTTTACATAGACCGTGTATGAGATCACATAATCAAAGTGGAGGCTCAATGAAGTCTGTCCATGCTCAAGTTATGCCCGCATGTAGAAAGGGAACTTGTCATTTCTGAAAAATGAAATTAAGGTTTGGCCATGATTAGAACAAATGCTTTATGAGCAAAAAATTGCCTTTAGAAAGTTTCGTCAAGAGCATGCGGAAGATAAGCGACAAGCATTAAGAAGCTTAACTCGCAGTTTTGATAAGTGCCTTTTTCGAGCCTGTCCCGCTGATGTTGTTCAATCGCTTGTTATTTTGTTTCCTTGTTTCTGCGGCGCATTCTCAACAATATGGTACCACATCTGAACAGTCACATAGCAAACCTTCGATACCACCACAGCCGCAGGTAAGCACAGTCTTCCCATGTTCAGTAGTATGCTAACTTGGCGCAGGAAAAAGCCCATAACTCGCTTCGGAATGGTGCACGGCAGCTAGGAACAGCATATTTGGAATCACTGTTCAAACCTGATTCAAAACATATATGTCCCTTGCAATAACGCGAGCAGAAATAGTGATTTGAAATATCTCTCGCTTTGACTCTGAATTATGATTGCAAAATAACACTTTGATCCACTTCGAGTAGGACATGAATTCTGTTGTCTACTGATGATGAGTTGAAGACGCAAGAAGAGTATATACTTACGGCATTCCGACAGAATTTCTTACTTCCTTCCCTTTTCGTTTCACGTTGAAAATCTTTCCTTCTCAGTTTTTTCCCTTAGCTTTTCTTTTTTTCGCTTATAGACAGTGACATGCAGTTCGTTCTCTCAATTTCAGCCATGGGGAGATTTACGTCAAATATGCATTGGGTTTATTCATAACCGATGCAAGTTCTATGTATCTCTTCTTTCAAAGGCTGGTTCAACAGAACCAACAATCTCAGAAACTTTTTATACCTAAAAGAGCATTTTTTCTAATGTCTTGCGAATGCGTTGGCTTTTGTTACCACTAAAGTCTTAGGCCTTAAAACCGACTAGATATAAAAATCCTTATTTCATCAATCATTCATAAAAATCCGACTTTTTGGCCCACTTACTAAGATTTAGAAAAACGGATTCGAAAATCTGACGATAAGGAGGCGGAAGATTGTGCAACAAGCAAACTTACATTATTAACTGCATTCTGGTCGAATTTTATCATTTAATTAGTATGCAAAAACTGCACGAACTTATAGAATGACCTAACATATACCTGGAAAGATATCCACGAAAGTCCATAAAAGAGGCAAATGGACTTTCAAGCCCCATTTTATTCGTTCGCGGTAGAAACTGGTCGGCATCTGCTTTCGCTAGCGTTATCCAAGAAATTTTATCTCATCGCAACCACGAGGCAAAGCGGTGTGATCAAAATGATTCAACCCTACTTGAGCTCTCGCTTGCCCATTTTTGACTTTTTTGCATATTTTTGATTGCGATTTTTTGAGAATGTGTTCCTTAGCCTATTTTAAGGTAACAAGTGAGTGGAAAAAGTTTTATGTCTTTTATGAAGTCTGAAATGAGTGTTTTTTTCCAAATGCTATAAAAATTATGGAAAAAGGGTAGATCACCAAAGTATTCGCCAACAAACTCAAGTGTTTCCAAATATCATGTCGATGCGAGAATTTCTATGTAAATCAGATAAAGTTTGTTAACTCTTCAGATCAGCAACCAAAACTAAATTTATGATTTGTATTCAAAGATAAAAAAGATATGCGTTTCAATATAATTACTCAGAAGCTATCTTTTGACTAATCTCGTAGAACCGAACCTTAATGACTGCCTTTATGAACGAATTTGAGTTTGGTCGCAGGAATTACTGAAGTGCCGTTAGCTAGCAAAAAAAATTCTGTGAAAAATTTCTTACTGTCAATAGTCCATACATTCAACTGCTTGGAGATATAAACATTAGCGCTGAAAGACAAAGAAAAGCTAAAGTAGAACATTTGCGAAGTCGTCTCCTGCAGACTCATAGTTTTTCCGACTCAAAAAACCCTTTGGGTTGTAGTGTAGTACAAGGTTTCCTACGAGATAAGCATTTTGATTCACAAATTGCAGTGCAAGCCAAAGTTTGCTTTCTGCAGAAAGCTCTACATACGAATTTGATTTGATGCAGATTCATAGAAGCTTTGAAAAGCGAACGCCCAGATATCGCATGAATTTTAGTCTTGGAAGTAATTCAGACGCAAGTCATCGATAATAAATGGTATTTTGTGAGGTGTACCGATGTGGGAAAGAATAAAATATTTACGTGACTGACATTGCACTATTAGGTCAGCCTAGTCAGATATCAACCACTTGGTGGAAATGAGTTTGCAAGAGTGAGAAAACAGGTTGAGGCAAGTTGGAGAAAGGTTTGCTGAGGAAATTTTGCATGAAATAAATGAATTCGCGAATGCGATATCTTATCGCACCGCATGGACTAAGTCCATTTTGTTCGCACGAAAATCCCGATTCGCGGGGACTTTCGTGGATATCATTCCTGGTATCTTTTTCATGGCTATAAGGTGAAAGAACAATAATTGGCAAACGCATATGTACTTGCCGTATACGCCAGCTAAAAATAACTTCCATGTTTTTCAGCAGACACCTGTTGATGTTGTAGATATTATATTGTAGATGACAGTTTGCGAAGTTTTATTTGACGGATTCTGAAGCGCCCATGAAAAGCCTGGTCCTACTAGGCGGATAACGTTTGCGCGGTCGTAAACATATTGTAGCTCAACCATAATTTCATAGCAGTTATTGCCTTTAGAGCTTTACTGAAAGCGCGTAAAAGCAGTGTCTCCAAAATTGGGGTAGCGCGGGACCAATTAGAAGACTCTCCGAAAGAGACCACTGCCCCAAGTTCCCATCTCCCTAAAGGCCCCTGCGCCGAAAAAATTGCGCCCGAGACCGGCAAAGCACGATTTGGCCCGTGCTAACAGACTCGTTGATTTAGGCTAACTTAAAGGGCAGAACTCGTCCACGTTGCTTCCGCGGGGCCTGTTCGGGCATAAAATGAGATTAACTCGCATGGGCTTAGACAGGATCGGAAATTGTGATATACAAAAATCCCAACAATCAATTTTTGGTGAGACACTGCCTGTAATAATGAAGTTGAATCGCGCTGAGCACGTTGCAGGAGGATCATGGAATCCCCCTGAAAATGGGTCACGAAATTTTTGCAATTCACTTACATGGATTATAAAAATGTGCAAGTGACTTGTTTATTCCTGTAAATAATCAACGTATTCCAGGAAAGAAGTGAAACTACACCATTACCACCGCCACCACCTTCCACATTGAATTCGGCAAATTCGTCAACAGCGCCTCTTTACGGACCCAGAATCAATTCGACGACCGTGTACCCTTTCAAGGGAGCCACAACCTCTTTAGGCGTCGTAGCTTCTCCCACAGACTCTCCAACATGCACAGCACCTGAATATAATTTTGTAAAATATGACACAAAAAACAACTATGATGCGACTACATGTTTACGTAAGTCGCTGCACGAGCCAAATGTACCTCCACGGCTTGCTATGAGCTTTTTTTTAGTGAATACGGTACCCACAAAGGATTGTAAATATTGGCGAATTTCCGTCCTATTACTGCTCAACAACAAATGGTATTCGAAGACATATCTTCAACAAGTTCAAAACTTCATAAATGGGGTGAGTCAGCTTTTATGTAAATTAACATTTTACACGTGCATCAAACCGATCAATAATTGATCGTCCATAGCTTTTGTACGTAAGATAAGGCGCTGACGTCGGCAAAGATAATCAGCACTTCGATTTAATCGAAAAGCGCGACGGCGCTAGTCACAGTAAATTATTTGCTCATTGGATTGAATCTTCCATGAATCATTTTTTGAAGTTACGTTAAAGTAGTGGTAGTTGACATAGTGAACTGCAAATTTTTGAGGGGTCTTTCTTGTCCAATTGCAACTGAAATTTAGTGTATTTGACAAAATTATTTTTTTGGATCATTTTGATCCACAAGCCAACCAGTTTGTTGACTTCGTTATTTGCAGCTTTGCAATCTACTTTCAGATTTCGTTGGTTTAGAATAATTTGCAAACATGAGAAAATTATATCTTCTTTCTTAGTCCTTTTGAGTCCGTTCTACTTTTTGGGGTGCGGATCTGTTGCGACTCGGTGTGAACACCCCTCACCCTAGTGCTCGTCTGTCTTACAACACAGTTCCCAGACTCCAGGATGTTACGCATCCACACTATTGTGCACATTAGCGCGTCTACTCGAGCTCTACCCCTACCCGCATAACGGAAACGATTACAAAGGCGACTAGACTGAATTCACATTTATTTATTTACGAGCTGGCATCTCGGGTTCCAACTCGTTCTGGAGCTATCCCATCGTGCTTTATCTCTCATGTGACTAATTTGCCCTTCTTTTTCAATTCCTAATCATCTTGGATGCGCTTCCTACCGTCCTTACCATATCCATAATTGACCATCACATCAAAATAAGCTTCACCGCTCACCCTTAAGATTATGGGGAATGTGCACAGACACACAAACACACAAATTTCCTGCTTGATATACAGTGCTGGATAAAATTATAGGTCCACTCTAAAAAATGCCGCAACTCGTGTCGTTTTCGTTTGGTTATTCAAGAAAAATCAAAAATTGTGAAAAAAGCAGGCTTGAAGGCTGGTCAAAATTATAGGTCCACCTGGAGTTTTTACTGATTGAAGCAATTCCTAACTCCCGAATTTTTTTAGGTAGGTACACATCCAAGAGCGTTAAACAGTTGCTTTAGTCAAGCTGTGTCATACCTCCAGAAAAATCGATTATTTGCTTTTTTGCCTTGAAAGTGACATGTACTTCGCTTCACAAACCTGTTTTGAGTAGGAAACTCTGCAGTTTCTTAGCAGGATTAGAAGCGACGGGGTTTCGTTTACCTTTCGGATGCTTTTGACGTGAGCATTGAGGAAAAAATCCGACTTCTTGCTGCTTAAGCAAATCCGACATCGACTTAATCGGGAGCGTAGGCTTCAGTTTCTGCCCTAAAACCCTTAATGCATAATCCTCATCTTACTAACAATTAGAGTTAAAATTCTTCTAGAAGCTGCCTCAAACATGAGGCAAAAAAATCGGACAGAACTTATGCAGCAACCTAATATATAGAGGTTCATTTATTTATTTATTCAACACGCTCTTGGCTCTTCTTTACAAAATAACAAAATACAAGTTACTCATGCTCTAACAGCAACGATAGCTCATCAATTAGTTTGGGATCCAATCCGGATAAAAGTTGATGAAAGCTCGTATGTGGCTGCTCACTTTCATTTATTAGGTCGTTCCCGGGCACTTGTGAAAATTTTCTTCAAATCGCGTAACTTCAAGCAGATTGATTCTTTTTTGAAGCTACAAACTTCATTGCAACAAATACGATTGTCCACAACATATACAGGGTGTCCCAAAAGTAACTAACACTTTTCAATCGTTAATATCTCTCTTCCCGTTGTGCCTTTTTCTTCCACTTAAGTACCATTCTGTAGAGGAAACTTCAACTTAGATATACAGTATCGCTCGAATCATCGGTCTCTCTTCGTTACTGTAGATTACGGTAAGACTTCCAGCATGTGGAACCATTGTGAAATATGCCATCTGACAAAATTTTCTCAAAAAAAACTGAAAAAATTTATTAGGGTTTTCGCGCACCTGATTCTACCACACAACTTTTTACGAGTATTTTTGACGGTGTAATCACTCACTGGGAATTCGGTTATTACGTTTTACCTGGGATAACTTTGGAAAGAAGCATTACAGTTAAGTGGGGATTTCATATTCGAAATCAGCGGCTTCCATTACCATGGTATAAGAGTTTTTGGCTTGTTTGGTTTTGTTCCAAGGCAGAATATGGCTTCCAATGACCTAAAATCCTTGTCAAAGTTCCTACGGTAATCTTACAGTAATGAAGAGCGATCGGAAATTCGCTCGATACTGTAAATCTAAGTTGAATCCTCCTCTACAGAATCGTCCTTGAGTGGCGCAAAAAAAACACAGTGGGAAGAGAGAGATACTAACGATTGAAAAGTGTGTGCTTACTTTTGGGATACCCTGTATTTGTCTTGCTGGCTTTTCAGCATCTCACTGTCCACCGGCATGCGCAGAAAGGAAAAAAATTGACGCGAAAAGCGGCCTATTTGTGCAGGATTATTTCAGGCACGATGAAAGCTGGAGACTCAAATGCTGTAGGAGTTTACTGGGGCTGTTATGAAGACTATTCAAGCCTTTGAGCGACCACATGCAGGAAACGTTTTCCCAGAAAGTTTAAAAAATCGATCATTTTTTGCCCCTAAAAATGCACCATTTTTTGAGTAAGTGACTTTGAATTTTTGTCGCGATCCCCGCAGAAGCAACGCCAGCTGCGAAAAGAGTTGCAGTCAGAGGCAAGTTCGACAGCTCGTAATTTCTAAGCGCAAATCGCAAAACTCAAATGCAGCTGCGGATCGCTAACAGGCTTCTCAATCAGATCACCCATGATTTGGACGAAATTCTTTTAGATGCGCAAAAAATGGCCGTAGGAAGAAAAATTGCGGAATTTTTATGATTGGAAAGATTTTCCTTCTTGATGTGAAGATCAAACATGTCTTGGCATCAGTAAAAATCAGAAGCCGTACTGAAAACTTCAGGGTTCCCTCTACTAAACAGTATAAAAAACTTGATGTCAAATGCGACCGAGCGCCGAAAAAATGCGTATGGCCCCGGTCAGACTTCACGCGACTTAATCGTCGCGACCAAATCGCCAAGATTTCCATTCATTTTCAATTCACATTCAAAAATTTCGGTCTGGAAAAGTATCACAACCGAATGCAAGTTGATCTGCATGGAATGATGTTGTAACAGTTGTCTCCTCGCGATTCAGTCGCGACGATCAAATCGCGTGAAGTCTGCCCGGGGCCTATGAAAATGAAATTTCTGAAAGTGCCCGGGAACTTTCTTTACAACCTCATACTACAACATAAACTTAAAACATAAACTCTGCAAGACCTACCTTCTAACTACTACGAGTGGAAAAAGATAAAGGCCAGGACGAGCCAGGTCGCCTCGTTCCCTGCTGCTGATGCCTCAAGGTGATCATCTCCAGCGCGGAGTTCAGGGTTTGTCCACACGGTCAACCGCAAGTCTCAAACCCTCACGGGTCGGCGCCACCCGCTTCACTCCCGGGATCGTTTTCCATCTAAATGACGGAGACTAGTTGTGCCTCTCCGAACACAATAAGAACAACCTCAATTGCAAAATCCGACATTCATATGCGGGGCTAAGAGCTCGCCAGCACGACGACTATGTTAGGAAAAAATCACTCGAAGAGACATGCATCGTTGTTTGCGCGGTTATATATACCCCTTGGCTTGTTAACGCGCCCAGCAGAAGAGGTCCAGGCGCGAACCATGGTACTGCGCCCGATAACGCGGCAATCAACGCTAACGAGGAAGGGCTTGCATCGCGAGCCGCGACAGGAGCCGATGCCGAACATCTCCAAGCCGCTGGCCTCCCCTCCCCTCCCCTCCCTCCCCCCCCCCCCGGTCATCACCTTCCTTCTCAATCAAAAAACTATAGTCATGAAAAGAAACAAGAATACTTTCTTCGTGTATTCTTGTAGGTCACACGCAACTGTGACAAGCAAAGCACCCTGCAGATATTCGATCCCGGAAGAATTACGATCAACGAGGATTGCCCGTCGGCACAGGTAAGACGTTCTTCAAATCTTAGAGTAGTTGATCTTTTGTAGACAAGAAAAATTTAAGATCGGCACTGTTCAGCAAAAAAATTTGATCAGTGGTATCACAACGGATGAAACGCTGCAGCCAAGTAGTCTCACAGCAGGAGACCAGTTGGATATACTGTTGGAGCAACTAGTAAGTGGAAGTGCCCAAATTCCCATATTGTAGACTGTACGTTAATTTTAATAATATTTTCAGCACACATGTTCTTCACAAAAACCACTTGCACCAGCGGAAGCTGGTGTAGTGTTCGTCTTCACTGACATTCCATGTTTGGAGCTCTGTCAGAGTGCAAATTTACGTACAGATGCACAAACTATCACAAATGCGCTCGTCTTAACTCAGGGTTTCATCATGAAGTACATGTTCTTGAGCGACACAGTGACCGAATTAGGTAGATGTTTGAAGAACATTGATAAACATAGAGGAAGGGGGGGGGGAGCGAGTCTGCGAGGTTTGCAACATTTTTGAATGTGGTCAATTTGAGTGATACCGTGCAAGGCACTTCAAAACAGTTTTTGAGATGCCCTCTCAAAATATTGCGGACCCATAACCCTAAATTTTGGAAGAAACCTTTTTTTCTACAGAACTAATTTGTTTTTTGAAAACTATTCTAATTTTTACATGTATAAAGTCATTTGCACATTTTTATCACAAATGTAAGTCATTTTCATAAATCTTGCAAGGGGCGCCCTCCCCCCCCCCCCTCCCACCCTCCTCCTCGGTGCGCCACTGTGTGCAACTGGCGATCCTTTTTATTTGGAAACAATCGATATAATGTACGAAAAATTTGAGAAGAACCTAAACTTTGTAAAATCATGTTTTACGCACGTCAAAGTCGCTGAGACTTTGTGAATCTTCGTAGGCTACGCTATTCATCGAAGAAAGTTTAGTGCTTCGCACCTGAAATACTTGGGCCGTCACCATAATTATTACAAGGTAGTAATCGGAAAGATGGATGTCGTATGTGGCAAGTGTCAAGCCAAGAAATTCAGGCCCTGAGATGTCCTGAGGTGTGTAGTAAACCAACGGGGTAAAATATGCGCAGTATGAGGCCTACTACAAGGGGACAAGTTCGGGGTTGCCGAAAACAAAACACTGATCAAAATAATTTTCTTGTTTCTTTTTTTCTTCAAGAACAAGTCAAAAAATTCTCTCCCGTTTGCAAAAAAATATTTCAAAACCTACTGCGGCCTTTTAATGTTTTTCTACTAGAATACGAGCTCAAAGAATTCAAGGAGAATCGCTAAAGAAAAAAAATTTTAGAAGCAAAATAGTTGTGCTTATTTCTGATAAGAAAACCTCCGATTTCCTATTTTCTGGTCTTCGTAAAAATTTCTGCTTACAATGTTTTGTCAAATCGTGTTTCACGATCTACTATTTTGATATAATTCAATCATTTTGATCCAAAACGCCACCAACATCAAATAACGGCAAAAAAATAAAATGAATAATTAACATAAAGTATAGTAAATAATAACAAATAGATAATAGAAATGGTAATAACACATGATAATGATTAATAAAAATCTAAATTTACGCTTTTCCAAAAGAATTTTTCGACAAGTACGGTGTTACAAGTTTTTCTATGGTAAACAAATACAGCTAGAAACTCAACCCGTGAGTCTTGCAACCTAAAAATTCTGCTTTTTCGAATCTTATCTCTGTCGTTGACTACGTTGATGAAGTTCTAACAGCACCCAAAAATTTTGAACACAAAAATCTTCAAAATTTCGAAATGAACATCTACTTCTATTTCCAGATTGTGCTCGCAACCTGTTCCCCGCATGTCATAGCATGAGCCCAGCTCTATGCGATGTTGGGGTGTACGGTAATCAGACCCTAAGCGACAGTATCTTGGCGTCAAGGACTTGTCTAGCGACAAGCAGTAATGGGCCCACGACTGCAGGTAACTCTACTCTGTCCTATAGTCAAGCCACCAGCTTGATTACGCAATGCACACCATGCGCGGTACTCCACGACATGCCACTTTAATCGCCGCCTTTGGAAGATCTCTTCGCTTTGTTTCTATGGTTCATTCAGACACTTTAGAACGGTACACACTTCAGCGGTTCGCTTCATAGCGATTTTACCGGCGAGCCAATGATAGACAGTCGTGTATTTCCGTGCGCAGTGTGCAGATGCACAGTCACATATCAAGTCGACTCGACTATGTATATGCACAGCGTAGAAAAATATTTTTTTTAGATTTTATCATAATCATTGGAGTGCCGAGTCTTTGTATTACCATCACCTGCTCTGTATGTGCAATTTTCCACTATAAAAAGAACAAATACAGTACCCGACGTTTTTTGAACCGATGGCAAGCGCAGGTTCCCACTCATCCTAAGGAAACGTAGGTGCCTTATTTATCAACTGACTATCTTTAGTCAAACTGAATTTTTTCCACAATGTTTCAGAGTCAGTCACCATCACCTAAAAAATCAGCAACTGCCTGATCCGGCTAGTATGGTCATGGCAAATCACTACGCGGATATCAAAGCGTTGGCCAATGCACATAAGTAGGTTTCAACAATATAAGCGGGCAAGGTGGGAGGGAGGAATGGGGAAGAGAGATCCCAAAATTTTCCAAAGTCGTCTGTTTATTCAAATATGTAACATTGGCAGCCATAGAAAACTTTTTTGAATGGACGTCCTTAACCTTGAAGGTTTAGCATGAAATTAGCGCGAAGGAAACCACAGAAAGTTTTCTAAAAGCTAATTTTTTCAACTTGAAAATTTATTTCACATTCCCCCTCCCCTCTCAGCCAATCGTAGTAGTATATCTGTGTTACTGAACTACTACTATGCCCAGATATAAATAAACCTGAATTTTGAAACAACCGTTTAACCAAATTCGATAACATAAACAAACCAAATTTTTGATAAACAAATTTTTACGTAAGATTTTTTTTCAAAAAGTTATCTCCTCGTTTGAACAAAATTCCAGGATATCTAATATCGACAGAAAAACTGCTCTGATTTCCTCTATCGTGTTTGTTTATTCTCTCATTGAATTATAGTTCCGCCTCACATTTTCCCTATCTAACTCCTGGAAATGTTCACTACTAGGATTGGAGAAATTCTCAAACTTCTCATAAAAATGCCTGACATTGACAAATTACAAGCTCTAAGAAAATTCGAAGACCATAACGGCGTGACTTAGGTTCTCGATGCCTCCGAGTCGTGCAAAAGGATGAAGTGATTCGTATATCGCCTGTGCCTATGAATTTGTTCACACCAGAACCTGTATATTAATTTGTTTCTTATTTAGGAAAGATCCATGGGAGATCGATCCGTCAAATCTTTACGTCAATGAAAACGATATTCTTGGCAATGGAGCATTTGCCGTTGTATTGAAGGGCACACTCAAAGGTCGGTTTACTTAGAAACCGAACCCATTTTATGCTCATTTTTTCCAAAAATTGCAGGAAAAATTCCGCTATTAGTGATCAACTCTCGACTGAACATGTTCAGCGAGCATGTACAAGAGAATGGAGCATGTGAGGTTAGAGAGATGGAAATGGCCTTTTTGCACTCTGCTACAGTACGCTACCGTAATGCGCGATATTGGGCAAAATTATTCACTCTTTCTTCACGAAAAGTTCAGTGGTATTACAGCACTGATAATTTTCTAAACTCTGCGTACTAAGTAGTGTCACGGTAGCATACTGTAGCGGTGGTGCCAAAAGCCCGTTTTTAGCGATTATTCATCTCTGAACATGTAGCATCAAGGTTGCTGTCAAACGTCTACCATCGCACGCAAACGATCAAAATCGCTTGGACTTCTTCCAAGAGATCAGCTTCATGAAAAATCTTGGTTATCATGCCCATGTAATCAGGTAAAGTCAGAGCCAAGGGAGCTAGTATTTGTAACGTTCTTGAAAAAGAGCGTAAAGTCAAAGAATTTTCAGCATGCTGGGATGTGTTTCTTGTCCAGTGAATCCAATGATCCTTGTGGAATATTGCGCCTATGGTGACCTTCTTCGATTTCTTCGTAACCATCGCGAACTCGTTCTTATGGTAAATGGAATTCTTTATAATCGAAAAAAGGCAAGAACCTTTCGGATCCTTTAAAATTTCCCAGGACAAAGAAGATGTTTGTCCCACTGATGCCGATATGTGTCTGAGGATCAAAGATCTTGTATCAATTGCATGGCAAGCCAGTGATGGATTGGTAAGTGTAAAGTCTGTCTCATTCGTGAAGTCACCGTTTGCTCGCATTCGCCTCGCAAGTGACTGGCGCGACGTTCGTAGGCTTAGTTCGTGCGGTGATAACCCCTCATCGATTGGCGCGCATGAACCTCGCACGCGCGAAGGGACACTGCATTTGAGAAGGACTGTATAATTAATACGCTTTTCAAAAAGTTGTGAGAGATCGTTCTCGTTAGATTTTTGTGATTTTTGAACATGACCAATGATGTTGGGCAAAAATAAAGCTTCTGGATTTTTTAGCATAAAAAGAATTAATGTTGTATTGACATACGCGTAAGTCCAAAAACCAAAAAAAGCTTAAAATCAGCACTGAATAAAAATTTCCAGACATATCTAGCATCGAAGAACTTCATTCATCGTGACGTGGCTGCCCGCAATGTCCTCCTAACAAGGCAATTGATAGCCAAGGTTAGAATTCAAAAACACTTTTTTTGGGAAAGTTAAAAGGCATTCCAGATCAGCGATTTTGGCCTCGGGCGCTATGCGGATTCAGCCCTTTATACAGCACGAGGAGGTCGACTTCCGTTCAAATCTATGGCGTTGGAGGCTTTGAAATTCTATGAATTTTCAGAAAAAACCGATGTGTGAGTACTAGATCCATTCTGTCCTATATTGTCTAGGTTATGTTTCAGATGGGCATTTGGGATCCTGCTGTACGAGATATTCTCACTTGGCGATGTGCCATACAATACAGTACAACCAATGGATATGATCGCGCATCTTGAAGAAGGAAATCGTCCACCACAACCAGAAAAGTGCCCAAACGAGATGTAAGAAAAAACTATTTTATATTTTCATACCAAGTTAATCGGATAGAAGATGTGATCATTGTTTTCATAAGTAACTTCGATGTGTCCTCTTCTTTGCCGAGACATATTCATTTTGATCTTAGTGTTTCTTATGCCGACAGGTGACTGTTTTTGTAATTTTAGTTATGCTCTCATGTGCAGATGCTGGAAGGCAGATCCTGACAGTCGGCCAACGTTTGCAGAGGTTAGCGATTTGTTACTGTTGAAAGGGAGAGACTCGGAAAAATTGCGATTGCGAGCTTTCCATCCCGCCTTGGCCTTCTGGATGCGCTGAATCCAGCGCTATGCTTGGAAAGTCAAAAAATGGTTTATGGCGTTTTTCAGCCTGAAGATTGCTGAAAGGACTGGACGAGCGATTCCCGCAACTCAGTCGCGATTGGCTAAATGAGCCGATCAGCCAATTGGCACCATGGGTGGAGTTACAATATTCTGCGGCTAGTATCTGTTTATGGCGGGAACCTCTCCTCTAACGCTCCAGCAAAAAAAAAGAACTTTTTGATTATCAAACACAATGCCGAACACAGCGGATCCAGGACATGTAGTTGTGGAAAACTTGCATCGCAATTTTTCCGAGCCACTGCCTTTGAGACATTTTTCCAAACATTCTGTCAAAGAATTAACCAAGAGGACATCAAAACCAAAGTTCTTTTTTCCCCAAAATGATTCAGATTCGTGGTGAACTAGCCATTCTGCTGAATATAGACGATGAAAGCTATGGATATCTCAGCTTGGATTCAAGACAACTGCGGAACATGTTTAATAGACAGGTATAACGATTTCCCTCCGCAGTGGCGGTCCAAAGAAACTTTTTCTGAAGAAGGGCACAAAATCATTTTTGTTGGTAAAAAATCACTCATTTAAACCCTTTGAAAGTAATTTAGAGTTAGTTTTCCGGCAAGCTTCCTATCATAAACTGCAGCAGCCACGTCTCAAAACCTTGTTTTTTTCCTAAAATATATTCAATTTTTCAGTATCTTTGAAGCTGATCTAATTATCTCTCAACCAATGATTCTTGATGCAGGTCACAGAAGTGCATTCTACACGTTCTCGCGCAAAAAGTGACACAAGCATGGGACCCCAAGAAGGATCAGAAATGCGTTCTGGTGTTGAGGAAGGCAAGCACATCGAAGTGTGAGTTCCTATTATTCAGTAATTTTGGACCTTTTCGGATACATTAGCTATTTCATGAAAGCCGACCAAACATTTTTAACAAAAAAACCACTATTTTGCTAAATTTAACAGGATCTTTTGGAAAAAAATCATCATCAGATTATATCGCCTTTTTTAGCACTTCCTCAAACAAAGAACACCATTCCGATGTCACAACCACTACTTTCAACAATGACGCAATATTACCACCAAAAATACCACCGAGAAAGCGATCGACCTCTACTACTGATGCTAACAAGGGGCTCACCGGAACCTCTAATCAAGATGCTTCGGATACCCCAGTAACAGCGCAAGCTAGGCACTCCTCACCAGACATCACAAATTCACACCCACATCTAGACGAAGAGCCTACAAATAAGCCGAAATCAAAGCCATTTGAGGAAGATTTCAGTGTTTTCGCAAGAAACATACTCAACTCACGAATACCCGAGGAGGAACGAGAAATCTTTTTAACATCACTTGAAGGTTCTCTTGAAGAATGGATTCAGCAAAAGTTAACCCGAGATTGTCCTTGAGCGTATAATACCTCAGATTACGAAACGGAAAATCATCGAATGAAACACTGAGGGATTACTCATGGTTTTTACATTGTCCTCTCTTCCTTTACTGGTGTAATGAAAAATAAACAACCTTTCAAACTAATTTATGTAAAATCTATCCTTACAAATCCATTTGTGGAAAAAAATCAACAAAACCTGAAGGCCGAAACAAAGTCATAAATTACCCGTCTACAAAACCCCGCCACCTGGTGGGGGCGGCCTTCTAGGAAAAGCCGGCTCCACGGTGACTGCTGGATGAGGTCGTCCCTGTTCCACAACATTAGGAGGACGCCTTCGAGGGAATGCAGGTTCTACCGACACCGCAGGCAATGGTCCTGGAGGCTGCCCGGTAGGTCCACGAATCTGAATGGGTAAAAGCAGAGTTAGGCTTGCTTGAAAACGCCGTCCACCCAAATTCGAGATTGGTGAAATGTGGTGCAGTACATTAGCGAGGTTCAAAACTAAATGACTGTGCAAGTCCCGCTGCAAAATGTGTATTGTCAAGTGAGAAGATCGCTTCAGAAGGCGAATGCTGTAGGGGTCGCCACGCCCTTTGACGTATGTGATCCGATAGTACTTATTAGAAGTGTCGACAATCCTTTCTTCAACGCAAAAACAAATTCTCGTTTCAATAATCGGGAGCCCAGCTTCGGGCTTACTGTTCAGGACCACCAAGTTGATGGGCGTGGTAACCCCAGCAGCAGCCACTTTCTGAAGCAATTTTCTTGCTTGAAAAAGCTGCTTTTGCAGCGGGATCGGGCAGTTACTTAAGAGCCTCGCTATTGTACTGCAATGTGATCTCATCAAACTCAGATTCGAAGAATGGTAATCCTGAGGCAAAATGAACTTACAGCTTGCGGAACAACAGTAGAATGTTGTTGTGTAGTTTGCGGTGTTCCAGCATGTTGCTGTTGAGGAGGTTCAGGCAATGGCTAAACATTCAAAAACTGACTATAATCGCCTATGCGCAATAAAAGAATAAACTCACAGCGCTAGGCTTCTGCGGTGGCGCTGATGATGGTGGTTGTCGAAATAAACCTCGTGCCCCATGTCGCTGAGTATATTTAAACATCCTTAACTTCGTTACAGAAGCATGAGTAGGTCGGACTATGCCTGGAGCTCTCAAAGGCAGTTGAGGTAGACGCGGATAGCGTTTCACGGTTGAGGTAGCCTTAAATTCCAGAAACTCTTCAATATCGACCTTTCCCTTTCAAAAGATACCTGTGACAATTTTCTACCACCCGCCTCCAATGCATGCTGAGCACCTCCAGGCTTTGCACCATGAAGCCGATGTTTTTCATTAGCTCTTTTTATTCTCCTATAACAACTGATACAAGATTCAAGGCATTGCTCTCAGCGCATTGCAAAAAGAAGACAGCATAACTCACTTGAAAACAGCCTCTCCAAAACCGGGGAAAGCTTTCTGGAAATCAGCGACATCGGTCAAACCCTGCATTTTACGCCGTCGGACAAATCTTGCGATCATTTTCTGCAACAGCAAATTGAACGGGACCGGCCATACTATTCCAGAAGGTGATTCCTGCAATTTCTGTGATCCTCGACTTCCGATGCATTGCACTACGGAGCGCTTTGCGAATATCACTATTCATTGTTTTTTCGCAATATACATTGTTACGGTACCCGCAATCACAATCGCAGAAATTGCAGGAATCATAGAAATAGAATGCCTGTCGAAGAATACCAAACAGTGTTTGCTGCAAAAAACAAAAGCTGGAGTCATTTCAATTGTGAAACAATGACGGTTTTCAGAATTCGATTGAATTGAATCTTTATAATTTTTCAAAATGTATAGTGCCGTCCCTCCAAAAAGGCAAAAATCTTCTTACTCAAAAAGCTGGCATCAGAAACATCTCTCAAAAGTTTCGGGATGAACTGGATGTTCGGTCAGATTGGTTGAGCAGCAATAGGATAATCTCAAAAAGGAAGAGTCCAGTTGATTCCATGGCTATTTTCGGTAGATACTCAGTTCAAAAATTTGGAAGTTGTATCTTTTTTCGGTATCGTACACGGATAGAAAAGACCGTGCAACAAATATTCAGTTTTGTAATTGTTCAATCCTGTTTACTCTCGTGAAAATTTTATCATCTCCTAATCATAAACCCACGTTGATCACTTTATTATCTTCCTTCATCAAAGTAGTCGGCTGTACCATCCAAGCTAGCAATGAACAAAATCTCGCATTAATCGTCTACTATACACTGAATGCGACGAATTCCCAATTGATTCTATTTATTAATTTTGCCCAGCAGGCGCCAAAGCTCGAGATAGGTGCGGTTTCAACTCCAAATTAATGAAGAACGAAAATAAATATAACCTTTCAGTTTTGTGATGTCTATTTGCTGCTGTGTCTGTATTGGAGGCTTTGTTACCTGCGTTCTTCTTATTGCTGTGGTTATTGCGTTTCTATTTGGAATTGCGTGCTGGATCTTTGGATGTCAAGAAATCGATTATATCTATTTTGAATGATATTTATTTTATTTACAAGTACTACTTCGCAATTTTGATTTGTTACTGTATCTTTGCAAAAATATGGTATTGACCTTAGGCACTTGATGTCATGCGTAGGTGCTTAATAACAAACTTTCCTTAACACAGTTTTTGAAAGAAGCGGCACATAATAACACCAACAAAGCGGTCCCAGTTGTCAAGAGCTCATTTTTACGAAAACTCCTAAACAAAAGCCTATGCTTTATAGGGGTATAGCTGCGTTTGGACTTGAAGACATCAGTTTTGAATGAAAATCAATTCTGGCTCAAGAAATGCTAACGGCGTTGAAGGTAGTCTGATTTCAGCGTACAAGATGTGGGACATTTCTTTCTAGAATCGACCAGCTCAAACACGTCAAAGGACTTCACAAACAAACGACCTTATACAGTTGTATAATACCAGTGCGTCACCTCTGCTTCGCAGAGGCACTGGCCCTACTTTCTATATGCCTAACTCATTCTCGCATAATATCGACACTGAAACTCACCCGAGCCATGCAGGCTATCACGAATGAGTTGTAAACAACTACTCATTCCTAGAGCTTTTTTGTGTTAGGTCGGTATTTTCGCGTGGATGAAGATTTTCCGAGAAAAATTAACGCGAATTTAAATCGGTTTTCAGACTTTTTAAGGCCTAATAGTCGCCATAACGACCATAATCACCGTGAGCTACATTCCTGTGCAAGAAACTTCTCAAAAGATCAGGTAAAATCTTGGCAAATTGAGCGTTTATGCAACTTATTCTTTTTGGCGCCGTTTTCGTAAACTAATCAACTTTAGTTCAATTGCTTGGGTCAATGTCCATGGCTTGCACATTAGCTTGTCGAACATATCCATGACTTCGCAAAAAGTGTTGGTACCGGCCCAATTTTGCTGGTCAGAAGCCAAGTGGATCCTTTTGACGCACAATTTTCAACGGGTCCACTCAACGGATTCGCTCAAACTTTTGCATGGTCGGGCTATGCAAAATTTGGGCTTAGGACGTTGGCTGGAACACGCTCTACGAATTTCGTAACGGACAGACAGACACACACACAAAAAAACGTAAACACCTTTAGCCCGTTATTATAAGTTATGATGTTGCTTCAATGAATCGTGCGGTATAAAACTCGCATTCCGAAATACAGAGGCGGCTTAGCGGCTTGCTTAAAAAATCGGAAATGCGCGTCTTGTACGCTTGAAATTAGGGTATTTTTCAAACATGTGGAAAAATCTCCAACAAGTCAGCTCTTTTTTGACCACTTGAAGGAAAGAAGCTGTACGAAACATACCTCTATCAGATGGTTTACTCGCTCGGCGTCACCTGCTTGTAAAGGGAGCTCTTCTGTAAGCATAGTGATCCTACTGCGAAGGATATCCAATCGGGGAAATACAACTGACGCAACGGTCTAAAGTTACCATTCCTAACGAGTACAAAAGTAAATGAGGTAAGGCTTCGGGCAGAGCTCACACTTCATCGCCGCGATTCTTCCAACAAGATAAACAGCTACGAGTCCACTGCATTCCAATCATTTTGATTTCGCTTGTGATAGTTAGACACGATTGGTGTGTTCGAGAACTATCACAACCGAAACGTAAGATGACCCGCATAGAGACTCGTAAGTGTTTCTTTTGTTGGAAGATTTGCGGCGATGAAATCGCGTGAACTCTGCCTGAGGCACAAGAATGCGATCTCGACCATAAAGCTGTATAAGAGCTTATCCAAAACCAAGATAAAAAAAATCAAGAAGCTGGCATACCTCGCAGCCCAATTCTCCCAGAGCGTAAATAGCACCGTAAAGAGAGGAAAGATTGCCACGTGGATCCGTAAACACTCGACAAAGTAGCGTAGTGATCCTAGCACGTACATCAGCCAGATGCGTTCTTCTTGACAGAAATGGAAATTGAACTGATTTGTCTTACATATTTTGAAATAAAAAACCTACTTGCACACCATGGCCAATATCAAAGCCGCAAACTCTCGGACTCGAAAATGTCGTTTATCATCAGGATCTGCAGTTAGCTCGCTGCACACCACGCAAGAGCACAAGGCAGGAATGATCTCATTCAGCTGAATGGAAAAACAAGAGCATCTTTGATTACAGGGCATTGCAAAAATTCCTACTCACACATTTATCCAAATTGACCTGAACATTGTCGATCAAGGTTTTGAGCAGCCTTAAGATATTCTTGAGGACGGGTAGATTTCCTTGGGCAATATTACATCGAACTCCTGAAGATAACGACACCAAAATATTGAGTCAGACAGACGTAAAAATAAGATTTACCCTCAAAGATGATTAGAGCAAATCGCGGTACTAAGGACTGAAGTCCCGGGTCGGAAGCCAAAAGGTGGAGTACTTCCTATAAAGTCAGATAAATTAATGGAGATAATACAATGACACCAGAGAGTGAGTTCACTACGAAAAATTTTTTACCAACAAACACGGAACAGAGCAAAATAACCTCACCCGTCGCTTCTCTGGTGAAGCTCCCATGACAGTCTCGATACATTTGCGGAAGAAGACTTGTTGGTCCTAAGAACCGTAGAACTCACAGCTGCTCAAATTTCTATCAAGTGACTTACCACAGCTAAAACATGATTTGTTATGGGACGAGATGCGGACGGCTCTTGCTTGACGACAGGTCTTGCCGGACGATTCGCATCCTCCTGAAATAAATCTTAAAACTATGAAAAAGCAAGCCTTTTCAAAACGAAGTAGTGAGAAATGTGAGGAAAAACTCTATGAGCAGCATAGTGGTCCCCAGACCCCTCTTTTGCGAGAGCTCAGATATCACTACAAATGGAAGGAAAAGGAGTTAGCCATAAAGTGAAAGAGAGAACTCGTAAAGATAGTTCCCAGCAATATTAAAATCGTCATGACACACCAATAAAAGATCTGGACACCGTTAATCACCTCATTTGAACCTGATGGATGAGCTACATTTGCATCTGGTCCCACAACTGGATCCGGTAGCGCTATCACAGGATTCTCAGGCACTCTAGGCTGTTCGCCCTCGATAACGAGCCAGTGTTCTAGAAAGCGTCGGCGATAGCTGTGATTACGACTCTAGAAGAACTCACTTCGTATCCTTCGCTTATAGGGCATTCGGCGAGGCGGCACATTCATGATCGAACGGAGGTCGACAACGTAACGCCCGTTAGGGTATAGCGATTTATCCAGCATATCAGAAAGACGATACTGGGAATTGGATGGAGCACGAGATGATGAAAATGGGTACTGAATTATAACATCAAGTTCTTGAAGAATGACTTGCAAAAAAACATGTTAAACTGAACGTCTGCTTCCCGCGCTTTAGTTTTAAGATCCTACTGAATTACACTACTATTTATTGGTGCAATTTTGGAAGTCATGAGCCAAGCCAACTCAAATAAAAAGAGTTTTGCGCGTTGCTATATGTGATTTGCTAAGATGGATGTGACTACGTTACATTACCATCCTTTGAAATGAAGTATAGGCGGCCTTACCTCGCTCTCAATAGTACGGTCTTGATAAATTACATCAATGTCGTATTAGCCACAAGTCCAAAAATCGAAAGGCGTGAAAAGAAAATATCAAGTCAAAAATACCAAAACCCACCATAACATTCAATAGATTGACGCTCATTTCAACATCTCGAGATTCAATTTTTGTCCTTCCCCCATGAGCGGTAAGGCTTGTGGCTGTCATGAGAACGTCGCGGACTATTTCCAGCGAATGTGCCATGATGCTGTCAAGAGCTGAAAATAACAACCTGACAGGAAAAGCAAAAACATAACCATTTAGAGATAGCTAAAAACAAAAGGATTTCTAAATCAGTATGCGATTACTCATGACACCACAAATTATTTAAGTTTTCACCCGAATGTGAGATAAGAATATCAAACAGCTTGAATGACTGAAATGATAATGTGTGGGATTACGACAGGTGTACGATATGTGATAAAATCACAATTCGTGCGAAAATGCTTTATAAACATCTATAGGAGGAGATTTGGATGGGATGTAGTACTGCACATTATGGCGCTAACGTGCAGTACTTATCGAAATGAACACATCAGAAAAGCTCAGTTCGACTTCAGCATTGAAGTAGCCAGATACAGCAGAAATCACAAGAAGAAAAATAGTGGTTAATTGAACTGACCTTGTTCGGTGATGCCATTTCTCCGAATGCCTAAGCGAAGACCAGCTGCACGAGCATAGGCACGATTCCAGTCCGTATAATCAGCGCCGATAGTGTATTTGCCTAAACTTGATTTCCACTTATAATCTGGAGACTGATCAAAAATGTCATTTAGCATAACACTCACATGGATGGAAGATTGATACCTTGGATTCATCAGTCACCTGTGGCTTTTTTTCAGCAGTAGCCATAACAACTTGGTAGAGCTTATCTGAAAGCAACGAAATCAACAAGAAGAGGCTCTCCGTTCCTTCGACATATATCTCCAGAATTGTTGGCCCAACACGTCATACTCTTCATCCACTTGATTTGCTTGATCCACTTCGCCACTGGTCACATCAGTAGACTAACCAGTAGCGAAATGGATGAAGTGGATCAATTGGATAGTGGACATCCGCCTCGTTATTGGTCACCCTACTGATATGACCAATAACGAAGCGGATGAAGCAGACAAGTATGGCGCCTGCCTTTCGTACTTGCACTACTGCTAATCCTAAGGACCTTTTCTGAATTCACTTGCAACCGTCTTGTAGAGAAACCACAAGCTATTACTCACCAGCTTAGTTTACGATGCATACTCCAACAAAAAGTTTCAAAAACCTCAGAATCCAAAATTTCAGACGTGCACCGTGCGATTTAGCTGTAAATCACGCCATACACGCAATCATACGCCTATTACTTGTTTGATTTAAAATGAGAATATTCAACAGACCTAAGACCAAACTTCTAACGGCTGGGTACTTCTTAAATCTCTAACGAGAAAGTTTATCTTCTCAGCATATCAACAGACCCCGAGGATCCGGCCAGACTTCGCTCAAAAGCGCCCGAATTTGTCAATTCTCTCTTCTCTCCTCACACGAAAAAGTGAAGAGACATCAGAGAAATTTGGGCGTTGTTGGGCGCTTTTGAGCGAAGTCTGGCCGAGGCCCAATACTGAGATTTTTTTTCATAACGAAGGAGAGAAAAAGCGAGTTTAATTTCGTAGTTTTGTCATACTAGTGTTTTTCTTTGATGGAGACAACAAATATTGTTAGAAGTGACAGAAAAAATGGTGAGTCATAGTGATTGAACTTTGGAAACGGATGATTCAAGTAGTGGGAGTCCGATAATAAGATCGGTGTTTGTGAGAACGTACGCGAAGGAAGGTTTGACATAAAAAGGGAGGTCTAAACGTTCACAAGCAAGCACTCATTATTTCACACAATATCCCTAATTTCATCACACTTAGCTTTTGGTATTGATTTCAGGTTTTGTCTAGCCCATCGTTTAACGTTTATTCGATTTTGAGGTTATCGCAATAAGGAAGGTGGATACTCACACTGAAAATCTGAATCGTATGAGTACCCAACTTCTGTTTTGAAAAGAGCGCAATGAGAGACATATGCTAACTCAGAAAAAATTTCGACGTTTGATTTTTGTTTGAAAATCCTAGAGTCCAGTTTTTCTGGTTCTATGGCTTCTCATAAATTAAATCAGAAAAGCCCAAGGAAGTGTGTATAGGACAGGGAAGGTTTGGGGGAAGGGGCAAATAAAAATTTGCAGTAGGCGCCTCCAGCTTAATCTAGTCTTCTAATGAACATCAGCTTTTGCATTGTTCTCACGGGAGAACCTGTGAAACTTGCTATAACATGTTGAGTACGCGTATGCATGGCAAATATGATGAGTATAAGGGAGCATGTTGCACAAGGGACTTCAAATTTTTTCAAGGCAGTGGCTCGGGAAATTGCGACTGTGGGCTTTTCACGACTACATGGCCTTCTGGATCAGCTGAGTCCGGTACTGCGCTTGAAAGGTCAAAAAAGTGCTTTTTGGCGTTTATGGGCCTTGAGGTTGCTGGAGGGACGTGGCGAGGGATTCACCCCAAAAGGAGCGACTGACTGCTGGAGACTGTAACTCCACCTATTTTGCCGGCAAAATTGGCTGATCAGGCTAGGCAGCCATCGCGATACAGTTTGCCGCCAAAATAGGTGGAGTTACAATCTCCTGGAGCCGGTTGCTCATTTTGGGGTGAATCCCTCGCCCCGCCTCCCCAGCAGTCTCCAAGGCCCGGAAACGCCAAAAAGCACTTTGACTTTTTAAGCGCACCGGATTCAGCTGATCCAGAAGGCCATGTAGTCGTGAAAGGCCCACAGTCGCAATTTTCCCGAGCCACTGCCTTAAAGAATGGATGTGGATGAGAACCTAATTTGATGCTCCGGCAGTCGCACCTCTGATCGGAGTGCCAAAAATTGGGTAAGCAGTTCGGGAACTGCTTTGGGGCCGTTTTCTTACTCATTCTCTATTTTTTCCGCATGTGGGGATTCTATTCATGTATGTTAATAAGGGGCAGCATTACCGAAGAAATTAAAAAACGCTTTGCTCAAACTTGACACGCAATGCGATTCCTATGATTCGTGCAAGTCCCGTAATAATGTATACTGCAAAAAAAATGTAGTAATGAAATTCGCAAAGCCGTAGTGCGGCACATCCGAAGTCGAGGAATTACAAGAAACACAAGGATTATCCCCATGAGTTGCGCTCTCTTGGATTGATTCAATCACCCTTTTCATCAACACATGTTGACGCCTTTATATATGGAAAGTGAAGGGAAGGACGGACATCAAGTTACGCACAGCTCAATTTGGCATCATGCGAGTTTTATCGCTGATTGAGTCTGATTCTCAAGTAAATGATTTCTGAGCATTTCCTCAGTCTTCCCCATTCGTGAGTTTCTGTGTATAGGTCATTAAATCGTGGCGATGGCGCGGCGGCAAGCGTCCTGTACGCAGTTTCAGTATCGCATTTTTCTTGCTTTCTTTGAATAGTTGAGTAAATGAAAACGACCTTCATTTTAATAATTGTTTATTCGAAGAATTGAAAAAACGACTTGTTCGAAGTTTTATTCGGATTCGAATATTCGAATAAAATTTCGAATAAGTAGTTTCTTCAATTCGTCGAATAAACGAATACTCGAATAAAGGTCCTTTTCATTCACTCGACTATTCGAATAATCAAATAAATGCACTTCCCTGAATATTCGAGTTTTGTAGTTCGACTAAATCATTTGAATATAAATATTCGAAAATTACTCGGTCCAAAGTATAAAGCATACCTTTCACTCAATGGGATTGGCGGTTGGAAGGCGACCGCTCGCGCCTGCGCCGCAGCCTGCGTCTCTCTCAGAGCGTGCTCTCTGACCACTAACCTTGATTAGCCCTCGAAGCCGCCTTCCAGCCACCAATCCCGTCGAATCCAAAAATACTTCTACTTTCTCTTGCGCAATCTCAACATCTGACAGAGAGGGAAGGCAACAGTCAAGAGAAATCTCTTTTCAACCTTATCTTGGGCTTAGCGTAACTTCAAAAGTCTCTTGTGCCGTTGCACCAATTTTTGTCATCAGCAAATTTTTTGTGCCAGTTTTTTTTCCATGCGGCCAAGATTCGTGACAGCTGTTGCTGTTCATTTGGTCTTTCTTGGTGGACTGTCGTTGCTCTTTTTGAGTCATTTCACATCTTTTGTTCTCTATGCTGAAGTAGCGGTCAACATGCTATCCTTCGAAATGTTAGAGATGAGATTTTTGACTTCATAAATCACGTATGATTGTTATGGTTCCTCTTCTCTCAGGTGTTGTTCGTTAAATTCATTTCCTTTTTAAAATCTTCCTCATTATTGTCTATTTTACTCCACATTTGATTGCAGGATGCCAAACGTAAACGTCAAATGGGGCAAAGAAAAATATCAAGTCTTACTCGATTTTGAAGAACCGCCCCTTGTTTTCAAATCACAGCTTTTTGCCTTAACAGGTGTACCTCCAGATCGCCAGAAGGTCGTAATAAAGGTAAGCCTTATCAGATTTTTCATTTTCATTGATCAAGTGCCTATGCGTCAATCAAAATTTTTGATGATTTTTTTCACATAGTTCATCTATGTGTATCGCGCTGTTACTGATCTATGCATGTTTTTGTGCAAACTGCTTGTATACCACTGTTTTTACCTTTGAAACTTTCAAATGTAATTTGGAAATTGTATTTCAGTATTCATGTATGCTCTTGCCTTAAGAAAAAGCAACGATAATAACAAGAAAGAGATGAATGATAAATCATAAATCTCGCCAAATTAGCCAAGCATTGATTGCGCTCGAGCGTTTTGCAAACGCGTTCAAAGAGTCCGCAATGCTCTTTCTTACGTGAGCTTCTTTAAACTCATCTTATAGGGTAAAACCCTCGGTGACGAGTCATGGACGGGTATCACTATTGCCGAAGGTGGGATGATCATGATGATGGGCAGGTAAGCATTCTGAATTCTTGCGCGCTAAAACCAAAATCTTGTACTTTAGCGCTGATGCTGTTCCTGAACCACCGAAACCAGAAGAGCAGAAGAAAGAAGCTGCTCTAGAAGAAGAGAAAAAACTGAAATTACCTAGCGGTCTAAAAAATCTCGGCAACACTTGCTATATGAACTCGGTGTTACAAAGTTTCAAGGTAAATGCCTTCCCAACTGTAATTTTTTTTTTCGTCGACTATGTAATCGCTATTCTAGACTATTCCGGAAATCAAAGATGGCCTTCAACGATTGAGTGTTTCTGGACAAGAAACCGATGCAAATAAAAAGATGGCAATGGCCGTGAAAAGCGTTTATGAAATGCTCGACAACCCTCGACGGACTGCAGATGAGCCACTCGTACCATTTTTCATGTTACAGGTTTGACTTTTGGATACTGCACTAGTAAGAGAATTTAGGAATATAGATGTTGGTTGTAGGCCCTTCACAGCATTCTACCTCAATTCAGCTCTAGGGATGAGCATGGTCACTTGGAACAACAAGATGCGAATGAATGCTTTTCTGAAATCCAACGAATGATCCTGAGCGCCCTTTCAGCAAATAAAGGTAAGTCAAATTGAAAGTAGAATGATTTTCTCACTGGCAGATGCTACTGATTTGAAATTCCCTTACGTTAATTTCAGATATGCTTGGCAAGGATGTGAAAGAGTATTTTCGAGGGAGATACCAAGTTACTCAAAAGTGCCTTGAATCCGATGAAGAGCCAGTCCAAAAATCTACTGAAGAGTTTTACCAGGTAAGCGCGTTTCTTGTATTTAATTTATTTATCTATTCATTTATCAAATACTTCGTAAATGATGCATCACCTCAAAACTGAATATACTAATAAAATATATGCTCTATATCTCTGTATAAATTATATGCTCTTTCCTCTTTGTTTTTTTTTCTCAGATATTGTATTTTCAATTTGGAGGGTTTGATAATATTCTTCTTCTTCTTCTGTAAAGGATAAAGGTGAAGAAGAGCCTTTAGTCCATCTTGGGAAGATTTTGAGAGAAGGGCGCTTGCTAACTGGCAGCATGTCAGTAGTAGGTAGGAAAGTACATACTATAATTTAGTATTAGTGAAGTATGATCGGCCTAGATTTGTATGGAGGCGGATCACGGACTTCCCTGATTTTATGGGTAAACTTGATGAGAGAGTACGAAATACAATGCTATAAGGTGGAGGTTTAGTGAGTTTATCCTGAAAATCAGGGAAGTCCGCAACCCGCCTCCACACGAATCTGGGAGCCGATGATATATTTTTGTATTATCGGAGATTGGTCAAGTGGTATATGTTTTTTCATGAGGTTGGTCGGGATATGTTCGGTCGGTGGCTACTTATGAAAAGCGCACCCTTGGTCAACCTTTTTGAAGATCTTTGTAAGAAAGTTATGATATGGTGATAAATCATCCAGTTTGAAAACGAAAAGGGGAGTAGATCAGTCGGTCAGTATAAACGAAGAGAGGGGATGACATATAGTAGATGTATACTGATCTTGTTGAAACACACAACTCAAGAGCTGTCGCTCACACTATTTTGATGACAGAATGAATTTCTGCGATCTTTAATTTATGTATGTCTAGTTTCAGTACATATCAATGTTGCAAGATACAAAATATGTGACTCAAATCGCCTTTACAGCTCTCCTGCTTCCTCTCAGCTGAAGTGAGGTATATTCAAACTGGTATCAAGGAAAAGTTATCGGGAGAAATTGAGAAGAACAGCACGGTATTGGGCAGAAATGCAAAGTGGGAACGCAATGTGAGTGATTATTAGCATAGGTGCGATAGTGTGAGAATTTGCTCACCCCCCCCCCCCCCTTCACCCCTGAGCCGGAAACCAAGGTGACCCCCTTCACCAAAACGACAAAAAAAATCAACAGTGAGGTAAGGTTATGCCTGATAAAATGACCACGCTATCAACCTATATGTAGGCTCTACAGTCAAGAAGCAAGTGAAGGGCAATCGTGGCATTCTTCCAGTTATGTCCTTAGACCGATTTTATGAGGACCGATTTTATAAACGGTCTGAAAAAGTGAGTGTGATCAAAATTATTGGATGGTACACAAGTGCAAAACTGAGGTTTTTGCAGGCGTAATGTTCGAGAAGGAAAGGTTATACAACGCTTGTCACTTGCTTCATACGAATATGGGATGAAGGTCCGGACCGACCATGACTATATTCTTGTCTTAATGTTGCCGTTTCATGCTTTGTAATTCAATGAAAATATTGAAAGATGACGACTATCAACTATTGTAAGGCCATCAGAAGTTGTAATAGAAAGTGGTTCTGAGAAGTGTGTTGATAGGAAGTATCAAAAATTATGAATGATGAAGCACGTAGAAAGAAGTAAAATATTGTCTGCCCAAGAAACTCTGAAAGATACAGTAAAATTATTGCATGTATAAATGGCCATTCTTGGTAAATGTGCACGTAAATGATAAGAAGGAAACACACGGGAGCAGGATTGGAACCTTCTCGTTATCTTCTGAAGAAGGCATTGGATGACAATGGAAGAAACAAGGACAGGAAAATCGGAACGCCTGACTGCCACGAAAAATTTATTCCGCTGAAGACTACTGGACACTGCGTAATACTGAACTTGTTAAATTCGGCAATTGGAAAAATTAGGGTTGTTGAAACAAAGTGAGGTTGTAACTACTTCTTGTTTAAATTTAGATTTAGCATAGGAGATATTTGTACGAAAATTGTTTGTGTATCGGAAAGGAGGGAGAAGATTTATAGGCAAAATTTGAAAAAATTCAATTAAAAATTCATAACTTCTGTAGATGAACAGCTAGTACAAGGAAATGCTCACCATTGAAACCGTTTCTTCCTCTGCTTTCAGAAAATATATAGTTTGTCTGGGATCCATTGAAAAAAGTGCGTGGTGAAGGGGGTGCCTAGTGATTTTTGGAGATTTTCGAGTTTTCAACATAAAAAAATTCATAACTTCTGTAGATGAACAGCTAGTACAAGGAGATGCTCACCATTAGAACCGTCTCATTCTCCGCTTTCAGAAAATATATAGTTTGTAAGGGATCCCTTGCAAAAAGTGCTTGGTGAAGGGGGGTGAGAATTTTATAACGGGAGTTCTCAGGTAGACGTCTTTTTACAATGGTGAAAAGGCCTCTGCCTGAGAACTCCCGTTATAAAATTCTCACCCCCCCCCCTTCACCAAGCACTTTTTGCAAGGGATCCCTTACAAACTATATATTTTCTGAAAGCGGAGAATGAGACGGTTCTAATGGTGGGCATCTCCTTGTACTAGCTGTTCATCTACAGAAGTTATGAATTTTTTTATGTTGAAAACTCGAAAATCTCCAAAAATCACTAGGCACCTCCTTCACCACGCACTTTTTTCAACGGATCCCAGACAAACTATATATTTTCTGAAAGCAGAGGAAGAAACGGTTTCAATGGTGAGTATTTCCTTGTACTAGCTGTTCATCTACAGAAGTTATGAATTTTTAATTAAATTTTTTCAAATTTTGCCTATAAATCTTCTCCCTCCTTTCCGATACACAAACAATTTTCGTACAAATATCTCCTATGCTAAATCTAAATTTAGACAAGAAGTAGTTACAACCTCACTTTGTTTCAACAACCCTAATTTTTCCAATTGCCGAATTTAACAAGTTCAGTATTACGCAGTGTCCAGTAGTCTTCAGCGGAATAAATTTTTCGTGGCAGTCAGGCGTTCCGATTTTCCTGTCCTTGTTTCTTCCATTGTCATCCAATGCCTTCTTCAGAAGATAACGAGAAGGTTCCAATCCTGCTCCCGTGTGTTTCCTTCTTATCATTTACGTGCACATTTACCAAGAATGGCCATTTATACATGCAATAATTTTACTGTATCTTTCAGAGTTTCTTGGGCAGACAATATTTTACTTCTTTCTACGTGCTTCATCATTCATAATTTTTGATACTTCCTATCATCACACTTCTCAGAACCACTTTCTATTACAACTTCTGATGGCCTCACAATAGTTGATAGTCGTCATCTTTCAATATTTTCATTAAATTACAAAGCATGAAACGGCAACATTAAGACAAGAATATAGTCATCGGTCGGTCCGGTCCTTCATCCCATATTCGTATGAAGCAAGTGACAAGCGTTGTATAACCTTTCCTTCTCGAACATTACGCCTGCAAAAACCTCAGTTTTGCACTTGTGTACCATCCAATAATTTTGACCACACTCACTTTTTCAGACCGTTTATAAAATCGGTCCTCATAAAATGAGGTTGTGAAAGGAACGATGCCGTTCCTGGCGGCGCGTTGTGTGTAATTGCACACCCACATTCACACACGCACTCACGTCCCCCCCCCCCAACCCCCCCACCCCCCCCCCCCCACCCCTCTGACCCCCTTCACCCTGGAGAGGTCATTCTCACCTTATCGCACCTATGATTATTAGCAACTTAGCTGAGCCTTTCACGGAAGAGTGTACATGTAGGTGCTCATCGATCGACTCCCAGCATATGTTTCTGTGCAGATGGTTAGATTTTTCTATAAGGAATCTAGTCAGGTAGGTTCCTGTTTCCATACACTGTCATATAGTTTGATTTGATTCTATAATTTATCTGTCTATATACAGTGTGTCCCAAATAATGTTAACATCGTTTGATCGTTAATAACTTCGTTGCTTTCATGTCTTTCGCCGAGCTTGAGGCACCATTCTTACAGCGAGGTTCAACTTAGATTTGTAGTATGGAGCGAATCATCGATCGTTCTTCGTTACTGTAGGATTACGGCATGAACTTCTAGCATGTAGATCCATTGTGAAATATGCCATTTGACAGTATTTTTTTCCAAGAAATCTGAAAAATCGTGTACTAGGGTTTTCCCGCCCGCTGATTCCGCTACACAACTTATAACGAGTGTTTTCAGCTTTTTTGACGGTGTAATCGCATTTCTGACAAGTGCTGGAAATTCAGTTAGGTTTATCTGGGATAACCTTGGGAAGAAGCATCACAGTAAAGTAGGAATTTCGTATTCGAAATCAGCGGCTTTTATTACCATAGTAAAAGAGTTTTTGGCTTGTTTGGTTTTGTTCCGAGGCAGAATATGGCCTCCAATGGCTTAAAATCCTTGTCGAAGTTCCTACCGTAATCCTACAGTAACAGTGATCGCTCGTTCGCTCCATACTATCGACCTTAGTTGAACCTGGCCTTATAGAATGGTGCCTCAAGCTCGGCGAAAGACATGAAAGCAAGGGAGTTATGGGGGGCAAGCGTTATGGAGCAAAGCTACGCCGCATTACCCTGCGGTATATCCTGAGGGCCATTTGCGTTGCGTCGCCTTTAATTGCTCAGGAGTAACGCTGCTCATGCCAGCGGATTGAGCCATTCCCCGTTACCACATATGTTCAAACTGTACAAATGCAATAAAGACAATAAGAAGACTAAATTCAGAAAATTAAAAATATAGGTGAGTTTTAGGGATGAATCAAAGGCCATTCTGGAATGATCCAATACTGGATATGAGTTAAAAGTGTTTAAGAGAAGTAGAACACGAGAATTAGTAGAGAAAAAGGATAGAAATTTACCGTCAATAACTTCCCAAGAAAAATTACATCCTCATCGTTCACTTTCTCTTGGCTTGCTTTGCAGACACTCCTACCTCATATGCTTTGTTCGAAATGCGTATATCATTCCCGTTTTGATCTCTTTATCTATGAAGGATGAGGAAAATGGCTCAGTCCGCTCAGTAGCATTAGCTCCTCTGCGACTGCAATTAGGAGCGACGCAACGCAAAGGGCCCTCAGGATATACCACAGGCAAATGCGGCGTACCTTTGCTCCATAACGCGGCGCCGCCGGGAGTTATTAACGATCAAACGATGTTAACATTTTCTTGGACACCCTGTATTAGTCACTTTTGAGGTCCAGTTTCACGCCGATAACCTTAGTGTTCCATGGAAAATGTTTGGCCTTTTTGAATTCAGTGTTTCAGGTTAATGCTAAAATTTTGAAAGACGTCAAGTTTCCTATGATTCTTGATCTATGTGATATATGCACACCTGCGCTACAAGAACGGTTACGTCCAGCTCGAGATGCTGTCAAGGTGGATTTGTGCATGACATGTAAAAAGTCTTATTCAGCCTTAATTTTTCCAGAAAGAGGAAGATGCAAAGATAGAACGCATGAGGAAGCATAAGATCGAAGGCACTGACCCAAAGGTATGAGAACTGTTGCACATATTTTGTTCAACAGGTTTTATTTAGACAGCGGTAGATGACGGAAAGCCATTGCCATTCTCATTTCCAGATGACGAAGGAAGCAATAATTCTGGATTTTATGAACTAAAGGTTGGTGTTTTTGCTTAATCATGAGAATAGTGAGAGAGGAGAATTTGTATTTGGTTTGGGTCCTTTTTCGATATACATAAAAGGCTGAGAACGATTGCACCTTTTGCATTTCTTGAAATTATGAGCTGGAAATGAACACTACTACTGTATAAATATATTGTTGTTTATAAATATATTGTTGTTTTCAGGCTGTTATTACTCATAAAGGTCGTTCATCAAATTCTGGTCATTATGTCGCTTGGGTACGTTTGGATGATGACAAATTTGCCATGTGTGATGATGACAACGTGACTCCAGTTACTTCGGAACAGGTTATAAGATTTGCAATCCTTGCTCAGTTCTCTTCAAACCATTCTCGATGTGAAAAGGCCCCTCTGATTGGGAACACCTCGTTGTCAGTCGACTAGTTTAGTTAGCATTTGCTGAGTTTGACGGCTTTGCTGGAAACTTGACTGATTTATACGTCTGCGGTCTTGCTATCAATGGCATTTGTGATGATTTCAAAAGCCTTTAGAACATAAAAAACATTACGCGATTTCAAGTTCATCTGGCGACAAATTTGCGCTTCTTGACGTTCACTTCGTATGGGCGCTCATAACTTTCGGACTTGCATTTACTCATTTTTTACACGATATTCAGAGCCGTTATGCCTACATTCAAGCTTACAGGTCTTGAAGCTTTCTGGAGGTGGTGACTGGCATTGTGCTTACGTTCTGATTTACGGTCCTCGCATTGTGAAGGAGTATCCGCCTTTAAAAGAAGAGAAGGAAAATATCGGAGAACAAACCAAAGAAATGGAAAGCATGCAAACAAATTAACTTGAAGCTACCTACGCTCAAACTTGTATCATCTTTACCTATATGTCACCAGTTACGTGTCAATTTATGTTCTCAAACTTCTGGTTGACTTCTTTCGAATGTTTTATCGCGGACGGTGTTTCATTAACTTATCGGTGTTGCATTGTAAAATAGTGATTGCAAATAAATAATTCATTGTTAATAATACTACAGCATTGATACAAGCAGTCAAAGAATATTCGAACGAGATTTAGCTTGCATTACACATGAGAAAAATTTTACATTTTGTAATTATACGCGAATTGGCACACGTACAGTCTGTCAAAATCGAGATCAGGCCGAGCATCGGTTGAGCAGCGCGTCCGCCCCACAGAGGGCCTTGTGAGCTGGCGTTTTGCCAGTTAGAGATCGAGGGGATTGAGAGGACGCAGGCATGGAATCTTAGCACAACACGATGCACTATGATTGCGATACGGCGCGAACCGTTGCGTGGCGTACGCCCGCCAATCCTATTTCTGATCCAGATTGGGACAGACCGTAGAAGCCTCATTTGTATCACATCATCGTCTAACGATTTTTGATAACTTTCTAGCATTTCTATATTTAGTAGATCGTATCCGTTTTGATAATGATACATGATGTAGTCGATACCGTCGATTCTTCCTAGGATTGTGTTGCGGGCAAAGACAGTACCAGCCATCACGCCCTGACCGACCTTCTGGTCCCGGTGGCCCTCGACTTCCAGGTGGGCCATGAGGACCACGTCGCCCTTGTCGGCCTCGTTCACCGATTAGACCATTTAGTCCCACTATACCCCGTTGTCCCATCTGACCCCGATGTCCTCGAAAACCGGGAACTCCTTCAGGACCCATTGGACCCATTCTACCGCGACCTCTTTGTGCTGGAACTCCAGCCGGTCCTGGCCAACCAGGGGGACCGTCAGGTCCTTGAGGTCCAGGGTCACCCACCTCACCGACTGGTCCGATTTCTCCCGCAGTTCCCACTGGTCCACGTACGCCTGGCTTCCCAGGTGGACCCTGGTTTCCCTCGTAACCGGGTGAACCAGCTGGTCCCGGCGGGCCAGGTGGGCATGTAATACATCCATTCGTTATGCTCATAGTGTGCTTCTCGTAGCTAATTCCCGCTTCCCCTTTCTGTCCTCTTTTGCCGTCGGTACCCGGTGAACCTGGAGATCCCTGGGGACCTGGTGGACCCACAGGGCAGCTAATCGGAGAATTGTTGCACGTACATTGAGATGAAGGAAGACTTCGTCTCTTGCTTCGTTCGTAATGGTAAGGTAGGGGTCCCATCTGTTCGGTCGCTGCCCTCGCGATGAGCTGAAAAATTGTGAAGCTGTGAAGATGATTTTCGAATTTAACGTGAAACTTGCCTCAAAATCGTTAAGATCGTATATTATAATGCTGTAGAATTGGTTGATATCATATGCAATGTAGGTCATGCTAGACAGACAGATCAAGATTGTTGAGCCACTCAGCGTCAAAATAGTCCCCAGCAGCAGCGAGTTCATGTAAACCTGAATCTCATGGTCAAGTATTAGCAGACGAACATGCTTGAAACAGTGCGAGAGAAGGTGCTTGAATGTCCAAATACGGAGCACTTGGTGAAAGGGTACGGTTGAGTAGAAGAGAGAGTGGGGACTAGCGGATTGAATTGCAAAAAATTCTATGGACGTACGCTGATAGAAAGGATTTGAAAAAACTTTTGTGAAAGGCTTGAGATTCTATTCCGACCAAGTTTGAGGCTAAGGACTTACCAAATTCTGGAAGCTCGCTTGAAGCACGTAAAGATTCTATTCTCATGGTACTTTCAAACTTATAGGTTAACTTCTGATTCTAAAATAAGGATCAGGAGAGTTTTCGAAATGCAATGCATCAGCTTTGTTTCCATTAGGTTGTGTGAAAAGTACTGTCCCATTTTCTTTTGTTCTTTCTCAATATCTTGCGCGGCGTTTTGCAATATGTATAGTACATGCATTTGAAAGCTCCAGGTCCGCTCTGCAAATTTATGTACATTGTCTCCCAACTTAGCAGAGAAATGTAAAAAATTTGGCATTAGAAAGGCGAAAAATCATTTTCGACAAAAAACAAAATGTTGAAACAAAAGTTGGAGTTCCACAAGGTGGTAACTTTAGCCCACTATTACAGATCTTACACTTTCCTGGTACGAATATAGTTATTCCATTGAGAAATCAGAAACATTTTTCAAATAATACTTGTAGATATATGATCTATTGCTTATTCATAACAAGAAAATAATGTCACAAGATAGTCAAAAAAATTTACGACTTAAACTTCAAATAGAAGCTAAACACATAAGTACCCATAGCTGTAACTATCTTGATTTGAATACTGAAATAATAAACAGTAAATTGATTACATATGTAATAAAACTGGTTACCCTGATTTTAACGTTAAAAAATTCATACGCTCTACGTCTAATATCTCATTCAACATTAGAAAGGCAACCATATATACAGAAACTCTTAGAATTGCAAGAACATGCAATACTCAAACAATTTTCTATAAACAATCTCGCAACTCGTAGATATACTACTTAAGAGTGAATATGACATTAATACAACATCATCCTCAATTTTCAAATGCTCAAATAGAAATCCGTTCATACTATATAAGGATAAAAATCAATTGACGAATTTATGAAACTTTTGAAGTCGAAAATATAATATACTAGCTTGCTTACCCGGCTCCGCTCGGCCCTGTCAGAACACGGTAATATAGTTCCCATCGCTACCCCTGTAAAGCCTTTCCCTGTGCACACTTCTACACTTCATTTCCCGTTCCCTGTGTGGTTCCCGAAATCAGCATGCTCACTTACTCCTCTGTGCCAACTCCCTGACCTGTAGTCCAAACTTTGTAAAAAAATCGATAAAATCGACAAAAGCAATCGATATATCTGAATACTGATATTGTGTTCGGAATTGCCATGCCCACTTACCCCCTGTGCTAACTCCTAGCCCCGTAGCTCGAACTTTGCAAAAAATCGATAAAATCGATATCGATCGATAACGAAAAGTAGCCTATGACACGCTCTCCGCCTCGAAGTATGCGTGTGCCAAGTTTGGTCCAAATAGGTTCACAAATAAATTTTTTATTCCGCACATACGTACATATCATCGGCTCCACGATTCGTGTAGAGGCGAGGTTTTGCCAACTCAAAGCGTGGCGGTTTTTGATAGCGAGAGAATACTTTTAACAAGTTTACCTGTGTTATCAGACAAAGTCTGCAATACATCTCTACACGAATCGTGGAGACGATCATACATACATACATACATACATACATACATACATACAGTGACCGCCAAAAAGTTGCGGACAAGCCGCCTTCTTTCATCGCTCACTTTCGGATGAAAAACAAAGATGAAAAAATGTTTGGAGTGCATGAGGTGATAGAGCTTTCCAGGAGCTACAACCCATACATTGCACATTCTAAAAAATATGTATTCTAAAATTTTCAGAAATTTTTTAAATTAAGTCCGGAAATGGCCGCGTCACAATGTCGCGGACAATAATTCTTCGAACGCGGAGATTTTCCTTTTGGTCTTTGTTTGGAGCAAAAAGAAGTGTTTCTGACAGATAAGCATACTATATTATAGCTGTTCGAGGACAATAATTCAGTTGTGGTTACAAAAAAAAAACCCAAGCTTGATTTATTTTGCTTTTTTTCAAAAAATAACTTCTAATTACCTTTTTCAAGCAAAATTTCTTCACATGGAAACCTATTCAAAACATCCTAACAAATCTGTTCAGATTAAATGAATGCTCTTCACCATCCTCTATGCATCGGATGTGTGCTGGTAAGTTTCTTTGCTGAAAATGGCTCTAGACAGTGCGTGCACATGACCCCATCCGCACCTCATCACTGACTTGCACAGCTTTTGCAGGCTTGGAGCTCGGCCGGCAGTCATTCTACAAGCCTGCGAGTAGGCTCATTCGAAAGAGCGTGATTTTGCCGACACGATGGTATGCAAACCAGTTGAGTTTGAGAAATCCCGGAGATTTGACGGATGGGGTAAAGCGTAGCCTCGGAGGTGAAGGAGTAAAGGCTCTTATCAGCTTTAGAGCTCCAAAATGGATCTATCACAAGAAAATTGACAGTTTTGACCTTCCAGAATGGAACTGGTTGCAAAGGGAGTTTTGCTGAACTTTAGCTGAAAAATTCTTAGCTTACCATGAAGCTGCGCTTTTCCACCCTCAGACAATTGCTGGGGGCAGGGGGCACCGGAAAAATAGATTGCTGATTTCTCGCACCCCGCTCGCGGATTTTTTGGAAAGCAATCAGGACTTTTCGGAAGACCGCTTGCTGAGTCAGCGGATTTTCGAGAGACCGCCTGTTGAATTTTTTTCGCTCTAATCTTTTGCAGCTATATTGCTGAATCTCTGAGGAATCGAGAACTCAGCAAGCGGTCTTCCGAAAGGTCCTGATTGCTTTCCAAAAAATCCGCGAGCGGGGTACGAGAGATCAGCAATCTATTTTTCCGGTGCCCGCCTGCCCCCGGCGATTGTCTGAGCCCCTCCGTCAACTCTCCGGATTTCTCAAACTTAACTCGTTTGCATACCATCGTGTCGAAGAAGTCACGCTCTTTCGTATGAGCCTACTTATAGGCTCGTAGATTGACTGCCGGCTGAGCTGCAAGCCTGTAAAGCGGTGCAACTCAGTGATGAGGTTTTTTCATCTTTGTTTTCCATCTGAAAATGAGCGATGAAAAAAAGGGGGGGGGCGGTTTGTTCGCAACTTTTTGGCGGTCACTGAACATACATACATACATACAAACACACATTCATCTTTATATATCTTATATTAGGTTGATTCATAATTAATGCACGTTTTTGTCACCTCTTTTTCCAAGCGCTGGTTTTTCAAGGAAACTGAATCTTTCCCAAAAATTTTAATGCTATCTGAAAGGGCGTTTCTTCTAGTTTCTTGTATATCCTTTCTTTTTCGTGACACTCCGTATGATACCGAATTCTACGCTTCCGAATATGAGAGACTAAAATTTGAAAATTTTTCCTTTCATTCTTTTTGCTCTAATTCCACGAAAACAAAAGATGTTAATTTCAAAAAATATGCCTAATAATCGCGAAACTTTTTGCTTTAGAAATCTCTATAAAGCAGAATTTTGCAAAAGTTCTGAGGTGAGAGATTCAACTACAAACTT